AGCTATCCACGGCATCAGCTGTGTAGTCCCTGATTTTCCTGCTTGTGTCCTCCTCTCTCGCATACAGCTATGCCAAGTTCGACCATACTTTACTTTCATTTTTGTAATTCTGTTGCAACTTCTTACCATAAATTCTGCCTTCAGTTCTTTGGCGCCTGGTGGTCCAGTCTCGTGGCTGCATGGTGAAGGTCACGCTGGAGCACATAATCACTATGAAATACAAAAAGAAAAGAATCTGAAAGAATTTAACACCCCCTGGTACCCTCACCCCCTTGTTCTTGCTCTCGTTCATTTGAAAATCCATGCTTCTTAAAAAAAAAAAAAATGTGTCCCAGCCTGAGTCCTTCCTTGACCTCGCTGGATGTTTTTAAACATATGGTCTTTAAATTCTTACAAGTCTTAAGGCAAACTTAAGAGGCGTAAGAATGGGACTTAGCTCAGTTGTCAAGCAGAGGTTGTCATGAGCTTATCCTTGTTTACACATCTCTTTTACATGGTGACCCCTGTTGTAGAGGTTCCTGGTAAACACGTCTCGAAAGTGGATTAAAGTATATTATTTTAAGGCTAACTCTCTTTGGCTTTTTAGCTCATAAATTCCAATTAGGTAATTTGTGTTTTATTTTTTATTTTTTTTGTCATTTTGTTTATTGACATAGGGGCACCTGAGGGGAACAGCAAAGAGACAAGGGTGGAGAGGATGACATGAAACAGACAGGGGTTGGAATTACATCCACGGGGCCAATACAGGGCAGACTGCAGCCTCTTTACACTGGGCAGGTGATCTAACCAAGGGGCAGAGTATAAAAGCTGTATACATATTGGCATTAGACAACCCCTCCACTCATAGAGCTACAAACATAAAGCAGATCATTTACAGTGAAATACTTGGTTGTGTGTTGTGGGTTCAAACTCAGATTTTCTTTGATTTTTACACTTAAAATATAATATTTGAAGCCAGAGATTTCTATCTTTTATTATTAAATCAGGGTTGAAATGAATTGGCCAGGAAGCTCTTTCCAATTGGCGACCATAGTACCTTTGATGTAGGACTGAAATGATTCCTTGAATCACTCCACTCAAGTTAAGGCTTTGTTAAGATCAACTATACAGAGCGATGTGTTTCACAGGGATGGTTACTTCTGTGCAGTGTTTTCCCTACCATATGCGTTTTGCTGTCAAGAGCAATGTCTCTGCTCTGCTGTAGTGTTCCTACAGAGGGTGAGTTTCTGTCTTTGGCACAATCGCACTGAATGAACCCTTTATGGTTTGTCTCAAATGAAGCGCAAGGAAATTACCTTACTGATTCCGACTATCTCTTTGGTGGCAGCTATCTTGGTTTGTACAAAATTGGGTTTGATTAGGATGTTGATTGAATGCTGCAACAATTTGTTGTTCTCAGTTGGAGTCAGGTGTTCAAAACAAAACAAAAAATATTGAGGATGATGGTGAGGGATAGTTAGTATTTTGGACCAGGGGGTTGAGGCCGATTGGTCACCCATACACCCAGCCGCTCCACCACCAAGGCTACCCCCTCAAGCTTTGGCTAGTCTCCATGTGCAGGGCTCAGGGCCTCGGGAATGAATGGCGCCCGGCTCTGCTCCGTCTTTGAAGCCAGCCAGGAATGCGAGGCCTCCTTTTTTTTTTTGCTCCCCTCTCTCTGTCTCTCTCTCTCTCTCTGTCTCTCTCTCTCTGTCTCTCGCTCTCTCTCTCTCTCTCTCTCTCTCTCTCTCTCTCTCTCTCTCTCTCTCTCTCTCTCTGTTGTTCATGCGACCGGCAGCACTAGCAGCTATCTGCAGCAGTGAAATATTCCCTCCGCTGCGCTCATTGTGCATCCAAGAGCCGGACGTCATCGGCTGGCCAATCAGTTGCTCCCACTGGGCAGCCTGGGGGGGGGGGAGGGACTCACTAGAAGTCTTCCCTCTAATATGTAGCTCTCCTGGTTACTCGGTCTGGTCCCTCTTTAGAGGAAGAAAGATGTTCTGAATAAGAAATGAGGACAGAGATCTTTCAACAAATCCTTGTAATGGTTAAAACTAAGGAAACTTTTTCTTTTTCAGATGGAAATCAGGAAAGTGAGCAGCGTAGACTCAAAGTTTGGGTGAGTTTTTCTACCTTTTGTCTTACTTGCAGTGCTCTCTTACGTTTGTAAACTTTCATTAGAACATTTAAACTGCACGTAGCTGGCCTCTTAGTGGTTCCCAGTCTTCCCTGTGACTGTTGCTCCAGCCTTCTAACTTGTGTCCAGTTTTCCTGCCCTGCTGTCATTGTTCGCTTCGCTTGTCTCTTGTTGTTGTAGTTTGCGTGTGAGGGTATTTGTCCTGGCTGGTCACCCTCAGCCTCACCCTCCTCTCCCTTCCCTCTACCCTCTCTGTACATTTTGTCACTGCCTGTCCCCTCCATCACTTCCACTTGAGTGCTCCCCTGTTTGGGAGCCTCTCACTCTGTTCACAGAGGGAAGAGGAGGGTTGGACACACACACACACACACACACACACACACACACACACACACACACACACACACACACACACACACACACACACACACACACACACACACACACACACACACACACACACACACACGGATTAACAACAGATCAGAAGGCCCTTCATACACACATGGGATCCACCTTAATACTGTGTGTTTGCAAAATGACAATATGGATCAGCTTTGATTCAGTTTTTTTTGTACTGAGCAGGAAAAAAGGCTCCTTGATAATACAAGAGTTGTGAGTTATCTGTCTTGGTTTTAAAGCTGCCATTGATTGCTGGATTTTGATAATTGTCTGTGAGAATAACATTTGGATTTTAAAACAAAAGGAATAAAATCAGCTGATTCGTAATGGGTCCAACATTTCTCCGTCCATTGTGAGGCCTAAGTTTTATACTGCCTTTACAAAGTAGATTTACTGGTTGGCTTGTTATTATTATTGTGGTATCATTGACCTTTGTTTGTGCATGACAGGTATGTCACTTACAATTTGATGACAAAGTCATAGGCAGGTATGTGGGTCATGGGATAGCCTACTTTTACTCTGTCATTAGAGGCCGCAGTAAAACCTAAACCTGTCATTAACCTGCAGGGGCTGGTTTCTGCTCTGAAGATGATTTTTGGATAGCTAATGATGACAGAAAGTTTACGTATGTAATAAAATTGTAGGTTATCACGTTTTCAAATTATGTTTTTCTACAGTTAACAAGGACTGACTGAAAAGGTCGAGGCAAAGCTATAAGAAACCCAAATCATATATTAGCAGGACTAAGGTCAGGGATGTAGCCAATTGGACTATGGTCATTTTAATAATTTATCACACTCAAAATTCAAAATGTTCTTTGGAGAATCAATGTTAAAGCCAATTAATTATAGAAAGCACAAAATCATTGTTTAAATAGCACTTGCATTTGATGGTTTGATTTAGCTTTACCGTGTTTCTGTAAGCGATGAACAATACTATTAGTCTTTGTAATATAGCAATAAGTAAGGTCTTTTACCTGCTTTTTGTAACATAACAATGAGTAAGGTCTTTTTACCTGCTCTTTTGTAAAGTGTCTTGAGATAACACTTGTTATGAGTTGACGCTATACAAAATAAATTGAATTGAATTGAATTGAAAATTGAATAGTGCACTCGTCAAAGCAGAAAGCAAGAAACTTAAACATTTCCTGAATAATTGGGGAAAAGGTTGACTTGTCTTAAGGGGTTGCAGTGCTGTATAATGGGACCTTTTACATCTTTCACATGACTAACCTCCCAGATTTCTGCAGTTCCACATAGAATTCCTTACATTTTTTATACATGTGCTGCAATGTGCACTAAGAACCTCAAGACCCTTAATGAGAGGCCTTGCTGATGCAGTCAGATTCCTCAACTGGTGGCTAACTGTACTAACCTAAAAAACGCAGCTTGGTGCCGTGTCAGCTGTTAAAAACATAAATATGACATCAAACCATCGGTCTTGTTCACACAATCATGTTATACTAAAATATAAAGTGTGAGGTATAAAGTGTCAACATTTTTGTTTTCAAGCGATAATGACCGTGACTTAGCCAGACAGACTAAGTTAGCTATTTTGACTGAAAATGCTACTATTAGTTTATACAGATATCTATTGACTGAAAATCAGTCTCTAAGTACTTTTCATAATTGGAAAGCAAACGTTGCTAGGGTTTTCAGCTTTTTAAATGTTCGTCGGACAAAACGGAATGAAGACGTCACCTGTCATTATTTAAAGATGTTACAGACCAAAAATTACAAGATAGATCTTGTCGGCAGATGTTTCAATGTAAAGAATCATTAGTTGCTTCCCCTTATTTTGGCACAATATTATTGAACATGAACTAAAATTGGCTTCAACTTTTCCAAAATGAAGGGTTAGTAAACTTTCTAAAACAAATTCAAACACTTAAAAAAAAAAGAGAAGGGAATCAGACACATTTTGAGTCAAAAATAGGACAGAAAAAGATAGAAGATATTTTTTACTTTTTGGAAATACGAAACAGTCCTGTGGTGTATGATTTGTCTTACTACAAATTGCAGATGGTGCAACATTTCTCACTAAAGGAATTTGACCTAGAAATGCCCGGCATCACTGCTGAGTTACCATTTTCTGGCATCTTAATGGTGTTTGGGTAGAAAGCACCCAGCAAAAAAAAAACTTTTTTTTTTGCTATTCACATTTTAACAAACACAGAATTTTCTTTCATGCAGAGTGCTAGATGTGGTATAATGGTGTTTATCTTTGATGTGTGTGTATGAGCTATGTGTGCCATTAAACAAGGCGATATGCCAAGTTGACAATCTAATACAAACACGTGTTTATAGTGTCATTTTGATGCAAGCAGTGAGTATTGGTAAACTTTAGAAAATCATTTGTGTTACACATCTCAATCTATTCACTCTTGAGCAACCATTTGGCACAGATGTATGACTGAAGCATGAGTCCTAAGTCAAGACTTCAGACTAACCAGTCAGTGCTGTGTTTATGCTTTCTCCCCCAGGAGCTAACGAGCAGACCCTTTCAAGATTCTTTGAATAAACAGAAAGAAGTAGGGAAAATGACCTAATTAGCAGCAAGTGTGACGGGCAACCTCGTGCAAATGTGTTGGTGGTAATTCTCCCAGTTTCATCCACGAGGGAGACACATGCATCAGAGCACATACACATACCACACAACTCCAAACTCTGCCCTTCCCTTCCTGCTATCCTTCCCAGTCCTCCATGGATTCTTACAACTTCCACTTTGAGAGAATGAGCAACGTGGACCTGCATCCTCTGAGCCTGTCAGTCAGTCGGCTCTCCCCAGCCAAGTCCAACAGCAGCATTGCTGACCAACTTGCCCATCACCAACACGGCAAAGGAGACTCTGCTTATAGCTCCTTCTCTGGAGGGTCTAATGCCCCAGACTACCCCTCTCCCTTTCTCCCAGAAGACCTGCAGTCCAGCCACTTCAGCCACTATGCTGATCTTAAGTATGTAAAGTCCATCTACAACCCAACCCAGGTTCTCCAATCTGACTCAAAGGCCATGGACCAGATCTATCGCTCTGTTGAAGCTATGTCACAGCAGTATCGCAATAATACCAATAACAATGTTAACCATAGCAATCACCATGGTAATAATAGTCTCCATACCAACAACAAAGCACTATCTAAGCAGGATGCACCTATTGATCGTCCTCCTCCAGTCCCAACACGCCTGGATAGTTTCATTGCCACAAAAAACTTTGGAGAGCAGGAGCCAGCAGCACTGACCAACCAATCGACTACATGCACATGAGCAGGGTCTGACTACCCAAGGCTTGAGGCGGCTAACCCAGATACAGCAAACTTAAGCTTCAATTCCGAGCCAGTGTTCTCCGTTTGGAGGGGCTCTCATCAGCAGCTACCAAGCTACCATCCCCACCTCCAGCCACATGACCAGACCAGGGTGAACCAGCAGTTTAACCCAGAATATCTTTTCATCACGGACAGAAAATCTGCCTCTGAGCAGCAGAAGTCAACAAACATTTTAAGCCGATCGCCTCCCCGAGCCATGAGCCAGCCTGACCACCTGAAGCCCATACAGCTCCCAAACAAGCCCAGTGGTAGCAGTAACCACTTTGAGAATCATCGCAAACGGGCACACTCAGCTGACAATTGGGTTAGCGCAGAGCCAACCCAAGCAGCAAGCCCCTGGAATTCCAGACAGAGTTTTATCAACAGCAGCATTCAGCACAAGGGTCAATTCTACTTGTCACCGGAGTGTGTAAGCCGTCTGAATCTGGTATGAGGACACACTCTTCATCAGTATGTGGGTCTGAAACTGGTAGTGAGAGCTCCACTGTGTTGGAGACACACAGCCTAAGAGAAAACGAAAGATCTCACAGCACAATGGACAGTTTCTTTAAACCTCTCCAAGAGAGCTCTCGTTCTTCCAGTGGCATGATTTCAGATGAGAAAGAGGCTTTCCATTCTGTGTCCAGGTGTAAAGAGCTGTTCTCCAGTAGCCAGGACCAGGAGAACTGCAGGTTTTCCCTAACATCAATGCAGTCATCTCAAAGCTTTGATGCCTTGGAAGAAATCGACATGATGCATTGTCGAGACATTGGTCGCCACACTGCCAACAACCCTATATTCTACTGTGGACCTGACAAAAACTGCCTTCCTGATTCAACGATGAAAATGAAGGAGGTCACAACGCTAAGCAATGAACAGACCAACCATGCCAAGAAAGCGGACCAGGCAAGGAGAGGTAAACGGCAGCCCTTTGCAGATGTAGCCAGTGAGAAGATAAACAAAGAAACGACCCCGCTTCTGTACCACCTCACAGGAGCCAGTAGGGCAGCGTTACAGCCAAAAAAGGCTGTTGATTTCAGTACAAAAGACAAGGACACTATTCAAAACAAAACAGGATATGGCGATGGGGTGGTTATGGATAATGAGAGACATCCAAAAAGTGACAAAAGCAAGAATGATAATAAAGGGGATATTGTCTCTAGTGCCTGTAACACCTTGGATGACTCATTTAAAAAGTACTACAAAGAGAAGCTGAAAGATGCCCAATCTAAAGTCCTAAGAGAGACTTCATTTAAAAGGAGGGACTTGCAGCTGTCATGGCCACACCGCTTGAGGCAAAATCTTGAGTTGAGGCCTACTGTGATCACACTTTCTCTTCCTCGCAGGACTCTGAGACCTCCACAGACACGATCACTCCCTCATTGACCTCTGAGGGGACAGAGAAAAGTAGCATAAAAGAAGAAATCAGTGAGAATCACAAGGAGATGGATAAAGAGACTGAAAAGGAAAATGGAAAACCAGCAAATGCTGCTCAGCCTCAGGTAGCACGCGTCGGAGGCAGAAGGCGCTTAACTCCTGAGCAGAAGAAGATGTGCTACTCTGAACCAGATAAACTCAACCAGCTTGGTAGTGCCCCAGTCCACTCTGCTTGCCGCTCCTTTGGCAACGAAAGTGATAACGTATTTGATGTTGAGGAAGAGGAGCTTGTACATCAGGGGGACCAGGGACTGGTCGCAGCATGTAGGAAGATTTTTGAGACGAGGAGTCGAGCCCTTTCAGCCTCTAGTGCTTCAAAGACGAACCTAAAACATCTGCAACAAAAGGCCCTGGTGGAGTACATGGAGCGCAAGACAGGTCAGAAAGTGGCAGAACCACAGCAACCAGCACCTCAGTTCACAACCCCATCAAGACAGCGGCATTCTCTAGGGGAGAAGCCATTTGACTGGGGTGCAAAACCTCTATCAGGAAACCAGGAAGGTAAAAACATTAAGAAGAAACTTCACAGACCCCACTCTGCAGGACGAATCCTTGACTCCTCCACCAGCTCAATCAGGTATAAAAGCAAACAGAGCCAGAGAGCAGAAACACATTTTTGTCCTTTTTTTTTTTTTTTTATGCTGTAGATAAAACTTTTTAATTTTCATTGTTCAGGTATGCCCAGTTTTTCTCAGCTCAGTCTTGTTCAGGCCAATATGCTGGCCAGTCTAATCAATCAAGATGGAGGGAGAGCCATGGTCCATCTCAGGGGAAGTCTGCCTCAGTGGAGAGTCTCTTAGACCAGCCTGAAGTGCCTAGTTTCATCAGGAACAGATCCAAATCCACACCACATGCATTTCAGGTAAGCATATTCAAATGAGATACTAACAACAAAAATAACTGAATGTAAAAATTAAGCCAGAAAACCCAAATGTCTCTAATTATGAAGAATGTGTTTATGGGTATATTAAGAGGTTATCTTTTCACCCTAAACAACATTTCTCAATGTTTGCAGTTAATTTCTGAAGTTAAAGTCAAATTACAAAATAACCCTGTTTACCTAAATCTGGCTGTTACTGTAATCATCAGTGAAGTTTGTACAACTTTAAGTGTAATTCATGTGCTTGTTCTTCCTCTGGGTCTGCAGGCACTCGAGAAGGATCTGTTACCTGTTAATGCTATGGAAACCTGGAGGTATGTGCCAGCAATCTCAGAAAAATTGGGACATTTTTAGGTTTTAGGTCAGTGGAGTATTAGGTCAGTGATGTGTGTGTGCTGTTGCAAGGACCATAAATCTCCATGTGAGTTATTGTGGCACTGGAAAGTCAACACCCACCTGCTCCAGCAGACCAACATTCCTTTTAAAAGATTTAAACATTAACTGCAAATTAAGAATAACTAACTGTACCATTTTCCAAGGAGTAGGTCTATTTGTCAAAGTACAGCTTAATTTTGTAGGGATAACATATTATTGTCAGTCTTGAATTAAAGATTATGTACGTTTGATTGTATTGCTATTGTCACATATTTAATCATTTAATGTCAATGTCAGTCCCCAGAAAAACAATACAGAGGATTCCTTAAGAAAGCCATTACCTGAGGACCAACAGCGTGTCCGTGTGGTTGCACAGAGGGGGAAGTCCATGGAAGAGCTCGGGGCCTCAAAGTTAACAAGATTGTCAGCTTTGAGTAAAAGTTCTGAGCAGCTGGATCAAATATCGAGACATTTGACTGGACCAGGAGGACAGAACAGACACAAAAGGAGTGTTTCATTCTTTGCTGAAGTCAGAGAGCCCCAGGGACAGGACGAGGGAGGAAGAAGCAAAATGTAACGGAGCAAGCTGACGAGATGGAGGGTCTGGAGAAGAAAACTCAGGGGCAGACACAAACTCCAACCCAGAAAAAGTCTATGTTGAAGCAGAACTCAGAACCAGAGCAAGATGCCTCAGCAGGAACAAGGAACTCTAGTAGATCCACCTCCCCGGCCTCCCGCTCTTCTTCCCGGGCCAGGGTTCACTCAGGATCTCCTGGTTTCCACGGTCCTGTCACAGATGAGTTCAAATCCAGCAGGCCACCCAGTGAGACTTCATCTAACCCACCTTCCCCCAGAGGTCCAGATACCTGCGAGGGGGAGATGAAATTCACCTTGTCCACCCCCACCCAGACAAAGCTTTCTTATGAAACCAGGCCTAGCTCCAGGTAAGATTAGACCCTTTTAAAATGCAGCACTTTTCCTTTTTTTTTTTTTCCCAATTCTTGTGTTCTTTTTCAAACCACACTTTGTTTAACTTCTCGCAGAGTCCGGACCGCTCCTCCTTCTCTGGCCGGATCAGAGAGAGAGCAGTCAGTGGACGAACCCAGCAATGAAACCTTAACAGCTGAGTCAAACCATGAAGTCTCTCTAAGCTGCGGCGTCACCACAGATCCATCGCTGTGGACTGTCCCCTCAGAAGAAGAGATCAAAGACGAAGTCCAAATCTCAGAGCTGACAGACAACGTTTTTGAAGAGGAGTCCACCACCTCAGCCCCCCCAACAGAGACAAGTAATACCTCTGTGTCTCTGTCCACCTCCGTCTCAGACACAGATGTCAGTCAGCAGGTGGAGGAGGAGAAAAATTCAGAAACAGAAGATGAGAAGCCCAAAGAGAACCAGGAGCTGGAGGAGAGGGGGACACCAGCGGGAGAGACTGAAACCCAAGACAGGCCCATTGAGCGACCTAAGTGGGAGGAGCTCGTAGAAGTAGTGGTGAATGCCGACCAATCACTGGCCAGAGTGCTTTATCCACTTACAAATCGTAAGACAGCGCTGATGCTGATGGAGCAGCTGCTATCAGAGGACACGCTGCTGATGGAGGAGCACTACAAGAAGAAACAGGAGCAGAGGGAAGGCTGTGAAAGGTAAATGTTTGCTTTTCTTGTCCTCCACAAACCCCAACTAGTTCCCACAAATCCACAATACACATTTTAACTGAAAAGGTATTCTTTTTACTTCCTGAATTGGGGAAAAATAGCACACACTTTAGAAGACTTGAACATGCCTTCTAGTGTAAAGTGTAAAATAAAATAAATTGCTACAGACATAAAAGACAACTAGACACTTGATACATTTCCTAAATCCTTGAGTTTATACACTTGAGCTACACAATCCTTTAACCTGTGTATACACAGCTATGTAGATGGAAAGAAGTATCCCTCCCACTTGCATCAAGTTCCCTAGTGTAACGTTCCTCTATGAAACTTAATACTGGTTTCTGATTGCCAAAGAACTGCTCCACCAGTGCACTGTTACCTTTTGTTGCATCACATGCAGAGACACACCTGGCTATCTGCTGACTGCTGTGCCTGCACCCAGGTTTTTTGCTAGAGTAAGCACACTGCAAATATATAGAGAGTGTACAGTTGCATTTCAGTATTTTGTCATATGCAACTATCCCTATGCTATCGCTCAGGGTATACTGCATGGAGAAATCTAAGCCTTATTTATTTGCCATTTGTCATGAAGTATCATTGCTGAAAGCTAACTTGACCAAAACAAATGTTTCTTTTCTAGTGCCGAAACAGTTAAAGGGACTGTACCTCCTCCTTGTCCTTCTGCTCCACGCAGCTCCACATCTCAGAGTACAGACCCGCCGAGCAAAGATGACCTCACTGAGAAGAAGGTAATTATTGATTCATGCACTAAACAATCTATTAATCCTAAAAGCAGGAACACAAATTTTATAAAAAATAGTGTTCAAGCTAAAAATCACCAGAAAGTAGGCAGAAATATATAACTTTACTTGAAATAAAACAATGGGTGTCTAAAATCATCACAGCTTTGGTCCACGTACATTAAGAAAGACAGGAATGCAGAGGTGACAGCTGAACAAACAGGGCCTTTACCTTTGTACTATGAACTGCTTTTTCTTTCAAAGAGCAAAAGCACTGCAGTGATATCATATCTATAACATTTTGTTGCTATTTGGCCTCATTTCAGACTGAGATAGTTATGTGTCTCTTATCTCATGATGTACTGTCTGTCTCTTATCACTGTCTCACACTTGGCTTATGTTTAGCTCAGTAAATAGCCAACCCAAGTCCCCTATTTCAGTTAGCATTCACTCTTGATGCAGTATACTTTGTTCCATGATGTAATGACAGCAAGGCTGGATGAAAAATCTGATTAAAACTATGTGCTTTGGTTTTAGAAGTTTTACCCCCACACTATTTTCACCATGTATGTCTATTGTACTTCATCATTGCTTAAAATCTCTCTCACATTATCCTCTCTGCTTAAATCAACAGCAGCAGTTGGTGAACCATATCGAGGCACGTCTAAAATCACTGGAAGAGACCCGTGACACCCTCCAGATAGAAATTCAGGACAATGTGGCCCACGGTGAGACCCTGGAGGTTCTTGTCCGTGAGTGCTGTGTGCCTGTGGAGCAGGAAAGGTACAACCTCTTCATAGGAGACTTGGAGAGGGTGGTCAACCTGCTGCTGTGCCTCTCTGCCCGGCTGGCCAGGGTACAGAACGCCCTGAGCACAGTGGACCAACACACCGATGCTGAGGAGAAGGTGAGGAGGCAAAATGATGGCATCAAAGTTTTGTCAAGCGAGAATTTCCATTTAAAGAGACCCCTTGTCTCCCAGAAAGTTCCTGTATGGTAATTAAATCAATTCAATTCAAATGTTAGTGTAATAAGACATAATAAAAATCTACTCATGTGCTTAATGCATCATGTGTTAGGGTAATTACTTTCCTATTTACATTCTTGTCATTTCCCTCTTTAGTTGTTGACCCACAAGCATGTTAATGATTTTGAGTAAAAGCCTACTGTACAGTCAGTGAATGCTCTGGGGGGGGGGTTACTATTTTTAACACATAATTTCTCCCGGTGGTTCTCATAATTCACTGCAACTCTTTCAATGCTTCTGGCTACAGGAACCATGAGTGTAAGAGGTGTGCTGCTGCTCCCATGCCCTCAGCTATACTCTTGCTCTGTTTGCTTTAGAACAACAAACATGCCACTTGGGAGAAGTTGAAGGGCGACTTTAATAGAGTCACGGTTTCTCACTTCTGTGGAATTCAAAAAATGTCGTTAGCTTTATCTTTGTATAATCACCCGTTTAAAACTTAGCTGTGTCTGGGCCAAATGATTTATCTGACATTTAAAAGTTATTTATGATATACTGAACTTTGTCAGTGTGACTGAACTTTTTGGTTTGAATTATTGAGGTACAATTACTTGAACGTTATCATTCTGCATCTGAGTTAGCTTCATTTCAATATCTTTACTGTCAAAAATGACCTACTTACTAATTTTGACAATAGTAATGCATTTTCTTTCTCAAATATTATCATGTGTAGCCCTAAGCTCTATGCTTTGAATGTCCTGTTTCATTCATTCTCAGTGTTTTCATCATCAGTTTATGTTTGCATGGATGCATTCAATTTCTAGATTTATCCCTGAAAGAGCTCCTTGTTAGTTTTTCCATCTGCAAAAGCCTGGTGGAACGTGCTGCACACTCAGGGCTTGTTAGAGGCTCATTTGTTTTCTTGCTGTTATCAGCAACACTGGTATTTACACTGACTCACCGAAACTCCAGTCCGGTTTCGATGACATTTGTATCTACCCTGCCCTCTGTTGACACAAGGAAACACTACAACGCCTTTCTTTCTGCTGTCAGACACATGGTCACACAACTTTCACTGCTCTATACCACACCGGTCTACAACGTCATGAATGATCTCATTTTGTTTAATTTTCAATTTTATCAAATTGTGTATTTGTATGAGCTGTGTCACTGCAGAATATTCACTTTTTTGATTTATAGTATGACAGTGGGTCTAATGCTCTGCAGATGTGAACTCAGCACTAAAATAAGGCTAACATTTCAACAACGAAAAATCAGATTTCATTTTCCTCATCAATGTAGCGTTTCAAAGAGAGAAAATGTAAACTTTTACAATCTCATGTGTATTTTATCTGCTGTCCTCTGTCTTTGCACTCAGCAATCCCTGGACAGTCGCCATCGTCTGCTGTGCAAACAGAGGGAGGACGCCAAAGACCTGAAAGATAACCTGGACCGGAGAGAGAACCTGGTCTCCACCTTCCTCTCTCGCCAGCTGTCGGCCGAGCAGCTGCAGGACTACCGGCGCTTTGTCCAGACCAAGGCGTCGCTGCTCATCCGGCAGAAAGACCTGGAGGAGAAGCAGAGGCTGGGAGAGGAGCAGCTGGAGGCGCTTTCCAACAGTCTGAATGTGTGAGGAAGGAGGAGGGACAACGGAAAGCACTGATTCCTCCTTTCTTTTTTTTTTTAACTTGCCCTGATGGAGGGATGAATGGTTCTAAAGGACATGCAGAGGAGTTTGGATGTACATGTAGACAGTAGTCCAGCAGGTATCTCCAACCCTTTGCACCGGGTCTTATGTGCTTAAGAAGAGTTTGACTGGCTATCGGTAGACCCATCTTGCTGTCTGCATTCCTCTCATAACGCAATGTCGAACAAGATATGAACAATCAAGACTATAAAGACTGAAGCTCCTTGCCTTTTTTGTCTCCTACTGAGCATGCCCAGATTGCTCATCTAATCACCGCCCTTCGTCTTTCGCACAGTCTTCAAGACCTTTACCAATATTTTGGACATGTTTGTATTGACTTAAAGCAGACGAATGACATTTCTTTCTGTGTGCCTTGATATCTGCGGAATGTTTTCCATTAGTGCTGCTGGTTGGAAACTTTGCGTCCCTTCTTAGCTCCAGCTACTGTCCTCAACTTTTCATTCAGACGATAGTTGTTGAAAGCCCTGTATCTGCACCTGAGGAAACCTTCTATGAGCTTTAAGATTGTATTTTGACCAGTGAGAAGGCTTCAGTTAAAGTGGGTAGCCTGAGAGTGGGCAGTGTACTGTATCATGTCAGTGAAAAATGTACTATAGATGTAGTTTATTTTAATCTTCTTTTTTTAATGTACTTTAAGATGTTTCAAATTAAGGCACTAAAAACCAAAAAGGGTGAATGAAAAAAAAAGCACTTTGTACTGATATGTGAATGCACATTTCAGCAAAATCCGATTTGTTTCTGCATAATCTCAAGTGAAAGCCTTACTCCATCCATTCAAACAATATTTCCACTTTACTTCTTTCTCTCTGTTTCTTGTTATAATGTTGAATAGGAATGTTGTAATAGTGTTCTGAAAAGGTACATGAGCACACCCCAGCAACATTAAGGAATGTGTCCAAATTCTTCTCCGGCTTATTTCATGCTTAATGTTATTAAGTCTTGATGATTTCATGCTGGAACGGTTCCTCATACGGAAGCAGTAAACCTCTTGAAAGCAGATTATAAGTAAGCAACAATTATTTCCTTCCAATGTCTCTTTGTCGCAGGAGTGACACGTGATACTTGAAATACTTTTTAAAGAAGTCCACAATCTTCACTTCAGGTGTCTTAAAACTAAAATTCTATTCTCTACCTCCACTGTTTTTCCCCTCTTTAGACACATGTAATCTTCAGGTTTATTTAAATGAACACTCTGAATCAAGTTACTTTCCCCTCATTCTGTCAAGAATATCACTTTTTAAAAACTGCTATACGTCATTGGCTTCTATGGTTGTATTCATTTCTATCTATGGACGTTTTGAACCGTCAGAGTTGTTTTTAGAGGTGTGTGAAGTGTTCCTCTACATGTGCGGTTTGTGTGTCTTTGCTTGGAATCATGAATGTCTTCACTTTGTGTGTGTAGAGATTAGTCACAGGAAAGACAGAACTCCTCTTGGTGTTTGCTGTGTATGATTGTTTTTTTTTTAAACTCCTTGTAAGTCTTTAAGTGATCAAAATCCTCCCTCAGGAAAGCACACCTGTTGGATTTACTAAAAAAAAAAACAAACAGATCAAGCGTTTGGGTTGCTTGTTGTTTTAATGACATTTAAATGATTGTGACCTCAAAGAGGCAAAGCGTCATCAACAGATATAACAAACTCAAAAATAAAAATACATCAGTAACTTGTCAACAATGTAAAGAAAAATAAACAACTAAAACCAGTTTTTCCACAGACACTAGAAACCCCTCTACACCTTCACCCCTAAAGCATTTCTTTGGAGATTTAGGTCCGGCCTGTTTCAGTTTGCTAAACAAATGTATGTTTGTTTTGGCTTTAGTGCTGACGCAGGGCTGAAGGGGTAGAAAGACTCATGTTGTTTCCTGAAGCCTGCAGGAATTCCTGAAAGTATGCAAAAGACAGACTTTTTTTGGAATAAGAAAGAAAGACTGGGGAAGAAAGTGTGAGGGAAAAGCTCCCACAAAAGGAGCAGCACATGGAGAAATAATCCTTTTAGTTCTTGCTGCGTGTGCATGCATACTAACAAATGTTTGACAAATTCCCGAGTCATTTCTCATTTCTGTCTTTCAATCAAAGCAGTGCTTTGTCATGGTCGCCGTTAATTTTTTTAATTGGATATTTGTTTATGTGGGCTGTTTGTTGTTTGTTTCAAGAACTGGATGCAGTGCAACATTAATACGAGCAGAACTTGTTTTAAAACCGTGATGGAAGCCACATTTTCAGCTGTATTTCCATGACTTTTGAGTGTGAGTTGTTTTTTTTTGTGCCTGTTTGGAGTTATAAATTCCATGATGTTTGTAATATTGTGAATAAATTAAGCTCTCCCTCTCTACCAAGTGTACATTTCTTCTTTTTAAAGCCATGGTGAAAATTTTAAATCATTTGCTACGGATAACTTCAAGTACATGACACTACACACAGAGAGGCTACGTGAAGTATTTATAGAAGTGATACCTTGTGCTACTGTTGCAGTATTCAGCTTTGAGAACAGGAAAAAATTGATACTCTGTCACTTATTTTATTTAGAAAAGCTTTTAACCTCCACATATATTTCATATACTGCCAAAAAAAAAGTCTGTAGTGTCCTTAGCAAATCTCTTGGATTTGTAGGTTTCTATCAGAGCTCGTCTCTGCCCTCTGCAGGTACATCAACACACTGCATCTCAGTCCAATCACTTTCTATTAATTACTGAACCCACTTACCGTAAGCAAATAGTTCAACATGGGATTAAATCAAGGTCGTACAGTTAAAAGAATAGTGTTGTTTTAAAGAGAATCATACAGCTGATGCTGATATACTGTATATGACAGCAAGAAATAAGTAATAATCGGGTAGCAAATAACAGAGGGAACTTTTAAATACATTTCTGATGCTAAGTTGTTCAAGCTCTTAAACTTAATGTCAGTATTGTGAGTTCCACAGTAACCCCAACATTTAAATAAAGGATGACTTGGTAATCAAACGGTTTTCTGTACTGCTCAGAAAGTCAGTCTTTGAAATCAAAACAGACACATCACACACAAGGGGCACTTAGCTTAGCTTACCATTAAGACTGAACAGGGGAAAGCTATAGACAGACAGCCAACCAGCACATCTTATTGGATTCTTTTTTTACAAAATCCATATAAATTACGTTGTTAGAGATTCAAAGGTTATTTTGGGGATACTCAAATGGCTGTCTGGCGTTGTTATAGTAACGACAAGACTGAAGGCAGAAGTCTTCTATTGCAGAATTTCATTTTTTAACTCATCGAGTTTCACAAAATGTACCTTATTTGCCAACTTAAGAGATGCTAGATTTCCTTTGAACAGAGCCTGGTTCTGCATTTTTCTTGATTACCACAAGAAAAATATAAAACTCTTATTTTAAGAAAAAAAAAAAACATCACATTTTGTTTCCCAGAACAGGTTTTTGTGATATTCTTATTGATATTTTTCGTGGGGGGGGGGGGTGTATTCTCGGCAGTCTGTTTTCTTCCTCTGTCTTGTCTCTTTCATGTATCTCTGCCCTCAGCCTGACAGAGGAATGTTGACCAGTTTGTTTGCGATAACAAATGTCTATTAAAAGGCACAGAAAGGGCAGAGGGAAAAAAACAGATTTCATTTTGGCAAGTGCCCGAGGAAACCCCAGGAGGACAGTGAGAGACACCAGAAAGCACTTAGTGTACGTTACAAAATAGATCCCTTTCAGTCAGACTCCCATTATAGAATATAACACCATACTCAGCGAGTACTAAACAAGTGAAATCTTTGTCAGACACTAATTGCATACTAATTAGGTTTAGCGACACTACAAGACGAGTAAATGACGGAGGGTTTTGTTGGTGAACACTGCAGACACTAAACAGAGAATAGGGAACAGGAGGGCCTGAACACCGCAGCAGCAGCAGGCCTTTCTCAGGACTGAGTAATGTGGAGCTTTTGTTTCTGATAATCACTGTGTCTTTCTGTCTTCACCGCCATGCAATGCAAGGGAACAGATGAAACTAAAACTTCTTCTGCTTCTTAAATAATGGTTCAACGGGAGATGGTATCCAGTGCCCGCAGGTCAGGAGGAAGGTTGTTGATCATGATGATGATTGTGGTTACACTGCCAAATGAGTGGCTTCACAGCTCGCTTCAACCTGAACTCTGAACGCTCCGCCCGTAGGAATGTCAGCACACCTTCAGTCTCCTCCTCTTTCCTCTTCTAGTTACTACACATCTCAGTTATGAAGCTCAGTTACAAAGCTTTCTGTTTGAGCAGAAAACACTGACGGTAAAACTGTACAGGTTTATCACCAGGATTTATCCCCTCTTGGTGTGTCTATTGATGCCATGCTCTGATTTAGCTAAGTGAAGGTCTGTTCATGCCTATTTGACACACATATGGGATAATAGCTTACAGTAAAAATGCATTCCAGACCCTCCTCATAATATTTCTTTCCTGTCCCATACTCTTCAACATGTAAAACATCATCATAAAACTGAAACTTGTGTAAACTAGCTTTGATTGAACTCTTCTCGACTAAAAATATGGCTGGCATGCACACTTTCGATTGTATTCATTTTACTTAATAACACAAATGGCAGATTAAAACTGGAGTATGTTCAATACGTGGGGGAAAAGAAGACACGTTGAATCAAATCCTACTCTACATTAACAAGTGTAACTGAGATATATTGACGTTTTCATCCTCTACTTTGGAGTAAGTTAAGCATCTGAATACTCTCATCATGTCTGTATGATAAACACAAAACTACAGCCAGCATGACGGGCAGTTTAGTTCAGCATAGGGACTGAAAACAAAAGGGGCTCCATTCAGGCTTGGCTCTGTCTAAAGGGTAAAATATCTGATGGTTGCCTGGCAATGCCGTGCTTTTAGATCTGCGGGGTCATGTTTTATTGGCTCTGAGAGATGTGTGTGGTCTTGTTGCTGTTCAGACTGATTAACAACCCATCTGAGTCAGGGCGGGCCAATGACAACCTTCTATGTAATATGGAGCAGGAGTAACACCAGGAATAAGGCCTGTAGAACTTTTTTTTTTTCCAAACAGTCGAGATAGCTGCTGCTAATGAATTGACGAGTAATTTTACTATTAAATGCAAGTAAAGTAGTCCAAATGACATCTAAAACATGTCAAGCCAAATGTATGTGTCATATAGAATCATATAAATTGATGTGTTGTTGGAATAAGCTTTAGCCTATCAGCCTTCTTCACACATCTGATTCTCTGAGTGATAGTAGCCACAGAGGCAACTAAGTATACAGACAGATGATAAACTGAGTTTGTTCTTACAGGTCACTGCATCCCCACTCAAAAATGGGCAGATTTTGGGGCTGTGGTACAGCTCAGTTGGTCCGATGCTACAGTCCTCCTCAGAGTGGTCATAGGTTTGAATGCCAGTCCTGTCAAGCTGCTCTATCTATTAAAGGCAGAAAAAGCCCAAAATATTATCTTTAAAACATGCATTCCGAGCCTTTAGAGATAAATATTTTAAAAGAATTATACTTTCATAATTTCTTTGGAACTAACTTTTCCTTTCCTAGCCTTATTCGACATTATGCTACTGCTGCTTCTTCTATCTTAAGGATTTAACTTCTTCCACCAACTCTGGGTCTTGTTCCTGACCTTGTCATGACCTCTCTCCTCACAGAGGCAGCAGCAGAGAGGAACATTTGCTTAATAAATCCCTCAGGCTCTGAGATGAAACATCGTCTTGACGCAAAGACAATGCACGCTGCTGGGGGAAGTGACATCATGAGACATGAGAGAAACAGAGGGGAGACGGCTCGAGGCGGGGGACTAAGACTAAGAGTTAGAGATGGAGCCGTCTCTAAACATGGCTTCTTCCTTCCCCATGATTCTTTTCATTCCCTACAAACAGGTTGCAATTGAACATTTCCAGAACATTTAAGATTGTACTTTTTATTCTGATAGCATACAGTCTCATCTGTTGAGGAAAAGGAAGCAGGACAGACTGGAAACATTCCTCACCAGCAGCTCATCCAGCTGATTCACAGCTGTCTCAACAAGCCAGGAGGCGGATCAGAGACGCGTTTCAGAGAGGTTTTGGCACATACAGACACTATAATGATTTATGAAGCACCTGCATGCTGCATGATAAATGGCAGGCCCTTCCCCTTCTCTTGTATCAATTGTACAGGACTGAGAGCCAGAGAAGTTGATAAGATTTCTTCAGTGGGATGTTTCCATTTCCTAAACTCTTCACAGTATTGAATAATTTACGTGTAACTAAGTGAAGCAATGAAGAGGCAAGTCCTCTAAATCATCCTCTGAGGAAAAAAAACACTTCTCTGATTTTTTAACTTTTCTAAAAAAAATTTTTTGATGAATCTAAAGGTTTGATTGAACCTTATGTTTGCAATTATTTCATTAAGTTTGGGCATGTTTGCCTCTTTTAAACTGGAGGATGATGTCCTCCCTTACTCAGACGTGAATCACTCAGAGGGAAACAAGTCCAGTCTCGACCTCTTTGCTTAACAAGTACGTTTATTTCATGTAAGTTTCAATTCATTTCAACCAACAATAGAAGAATACAGATTTAAAATCTTGCCACGAATGTGTGAAGAGATCATAGAAAGACAAAGTGAACAGCAGGATTTATTCCTTGTATTAAGAAGGGAAGCTCATTTTAAATCAAAATAAATTGTTATACATGATGTTCTTCAACAGGCTTGACGTACATTATGATAAACTTTAAACAGTACATGCCATTGAACCTTACTGAAAATGCTAGTGTCGGACATACTCTTCTTTCTTTAAACTGTCAGTGCATAACAATGAGTAAACAAATGGAAAGTCTACAGAAAATGTGCCTGTTTTCTAAAATATTACTCTTCAACTCCCTGAGTCTGGGCTTCTATAGACTGACAGCATTCAAGTTTTCACAGACAGAGTTATGAAAGGACAACTCACAAGATCCAATGGAGCTTTTTTCTGAATACATTTTCATTTTAACACTTCACATATTAGACACAATAAATAAAGATATTGCTCAAAGAAAGTTGTTGTCTCTCATTTAACCAGCTACAGAAGGTTTCTCCTGACTCCATTGTTCATTTAAATCTTGATTATCCTCTTCACCAAACAGCCAAACTCATATAAAATAATTTTATTTTCTAAGTGGTCTGCCAACTAGAAAAAAATAAATAACAGGAATAAACAGGAGTCCTGTTTCTTAAGCATTTTTTTTTTTTTTAAGTATTTGTCATTTCTTGGCAGGACAGACTATTCCAGAGCAAAAAAATAACCAAGACAGACTTCTGAGTTTACATAAAAGCATCTGACACCAGCCTGTGTCTGAATCCGTTGCTGTCTTCTCTGGGGTCATCGTTCAGAGAGTAGAACGCTGGCCTCTGCTTGTGCTTCTTCTTTTGGGACGTCATGTGGGGCTGGAAGAGGCGGCTTATCGAATGGAATCCCTTGGAGAGATCAGGTAACAGATCCAGCTCGTCCTTCTCTTCCGGGGGCTTTTCCTGAACCGTGACCTGGGCTTTTGGCTCACCCAGCATCTCTCTTACTGTGTTTGAGATGCCCTTGTGCAGATAGTGGTAAGCTTTCTTCCCACAGTTGTCCCGGATGCTGGGATCGGCCCCAAACTCTCCCACCAGCATGGCCAGGATGTACTCCTGGTCATGCAAGGCGGCGATGTGCAAAGGTGTGTATCCACCATGTGTTTTTGCGTTAATGTCAACGTCAACCCCTCCTTGCTTGGACAGGTCGATTATCTTCACAAGCATTTCACTGTTCCCACTTTTGGCCGCCCAGTGCAGAGCAGTGAACCCTGACATAAAGTCTCTCTTCTCAGCCAGCTGGTTGTCTCTCAGCAGCAGGCCGTAAACCTGGCTCCAGTGTCCGGCTGCACATTTAACCAGCCATTCATGCTCTGACTGCTCCAGGGGAACCGAGGAGGGCATCCTGGATTCCTCTGATGCCTTGGTGCTCTTTACTGCTCTCCTCAGCTCGGGGGAGCTAATAATGTAGCCGCTGCACGACTCCACTGAAGGCCTTCGCTTGTTCCTGAAGGAGTCCGGTTTAGGACCATCAGGAGAATCATCTGGTTCCACTTTAAGTTTACGGATCTCCACTCGGGTCGCGCTTGGTGGCACTCTCAGAGGCAGGGCGTAGGGCTTGTTACGGATGGGCTCATTTCCTGAACCCTTTTGTGAGCCATTTTCATTCTGTTGGGTCTCAAAACTCAGAACCTTTTTTAATTTAAAGTCCATAATTTTGCTCCTTTGCAGTGCCAGCAGCACAGGAGACAATAATTCCTCAGGGTTTTCAACAACTTCACTTGCCTGTACTTGATCTGGCTCAGGATCCGCTGATCTCTCCTCTCCTACATCCTCAGAGCATTCGGCTTTCGCAGGTGGGCGCTGCTGCTCACCTGTCAGCTGGATCTCTTCAGTTTCTGTCTTTCCTGCACTTTGAAGCAAATGCTGATACCGTTTCTTTACCGCTACATAGCGGACACCGTCGATTTCTATTACGCAGGCGATATTGTTAACAAAAGTCTTGAAAAGCTCTCTTTTCTGAGCTCTCTCCTCTGGATCGCCGCAGTTGATTGAATCTTTGAACTTACCCACCAGGTCCGATTTCTTCACCTTGCCCCCCTCCGCTATCAGCAGAGATAGGACGGATTCTTGCGTCAAAGCCATGATGAAAATCGTTGTTCTAGGCCAGTTGTTAAAGTTGAAACGTCCTTCCCCGCTGTATCCTGTTCACCTTTGTCCTGGTGACGGCGCAGCGTTAACCCTCACCTGGCCGCGCTCTCCTTCCCTCCCTCCTTCCCTCCTTCCCTCCCTCCCTGCCTGTAGGTGTCTCTTTCCGGGGAAAGTGCAGACGTGGATTTCATTTGAATAAAACATGCAGAAGTTTATCCCTTCAGGCAAAGTGGCTGTGAGTTCAAAGTGACTTTTGACTTAAGACTGTAATGATGCATTTAGCCTTTTTTTTCCTCGTATAACTAGGCTACTTAGGCAAATCTATCATTCAAGAAATCATATTTCTTCAAGAAAGACAAGAATGCCTCAATTAGCGACTCTGAAAGACCACTATAATACCAGTCCATAAAGTATAGCCCACCATAGTATATAGCCTATTTTGAAAGACTGTACAATTATATTCACAGGCCTTATGGGCTACGATTGTAATTCTATCACTAGGAAAAATGTAGGCATATCTAGCACAAACATAGCTACATAAAAAAAAAAAAGGGAAGACATCATTTAAAATCAAACTGTGAGGAAAATGTCCTACTCCTATCATATAGCTGTATCCTAATCGGAGGAATAGAGACGAGAAAACCTATGACCATGGTCTTTTCAATGATTATCCACAGTGTTAGTGAGGACTATAATCCCAAATGTATCAATATAGCCTAATATCAAAATTCTAGTAGTACGCTCAAAGTTTACAACCCAAATGTTTTTACATAAACGCAATGCCAGCAACACCATGTAAAACAATACACAAGTACAATATTCAATCTTTCATATTTAATTTACAAATATCTACGACTCTGTTTTTGCACACTTACATTTAATCTTCCATTATTTAATCTTCAGACTAGTAATGCTTAGTTAAATCCTGGTTGTATATATTCCCATTCTTAGTTTTGATATTTTTAGTGCTTATTTACTTTGTATTTAATATTATATTGTGTTTAGATTTGCTAATATTTCCCAGTTTGGGATCAATAAAGTAATTTTATTCTATTCTATATAGGCTACAATAGGCCATTATAAACACTGGTTGTAAAACAAATAGTAGACCAACAACATAGCCTACAACAATTAGTTTCCCTGCCCTGATTGGCTGACCCACATTCTCGTAAAATCTACACTACCTCATTAATGAGTTTAAATATTAATGCTTTATCCTGACAGGACACAGCTGAGAGCACAGCAGTGATGATTTAGTGTTTTTACTATCTTGTGCATATTTCTTGCTCTTCCCCCTCCTGTCGCCCAGTTTTGCATCTTCATCTTGTCCTGGCTTGCAATGTGTGCAGCATGACATTCCTCCTACTCAAAAGGAGTTCCTGAGAAGTGGCCATATTGTAACGTATGTGTCCTGCTGCCCAAAGATGAAACATGTACGTCAAGGCAGCTCACCGACTTTAACACGGTTGTAAAACGTTCACTGTTAGCACTGTAAATAAAATAAAAAAACCCCGCAAAAACGACTGTTTACGTCTATAATAGTGTACATCAAGGTTTAAAACTAATTAAAGAAATAAAGAAGTTAAAAAAATATAATATTCTTAAATGAATTAAGAATTTAATTCGAAGTCTCACGAGAAAAACAACGAGTCTTGGCTGGCGAAACAGAAGGCGCGTCGCAGTGAATTCTCTTGTCGCCTAGGAGAGTAGCCTCCCTGCCTAGTTACCAGCTCCTCTCCGTATTGTGTGTGTGTGTGTGTGTCCCTCTCTTCCTGTCTCTGTCAGTTTGGCTCAGTAGTTTAGCAAGGCTAGTACAGAGACGAGGGCTGTTCCCTTTCGCCTCTGCTCAGCACAAACTCCATACATTCCTCACCATGGCTGCCACGGACGTTGACGTGTTTTTGGTAAGTGAAAACAACGCCTTTCCCCCCCTTCGTATTCATCAACCTCTCTTTAAGTGCAGCCGTTGATTTGGTTGTGATTAGTAAAAAAGTGTGTTTGTTCGTTAGCCGTGTTGTGTGTGTGTATGGTATGAAGCTAAGCCTCCCCCGCTTTGAAAGCCTTGTAACCGAGATGGTGGAAGTGATTTCTGTGATGGTGACTGGGTGTATTTCAGATAACACTACCAGCACCTTTCACTATTTAACGTCGTTACTTATTAAATTTGTGTGTTTTTTTTCTAACTGACTGATATGGGTGTAACGTATGGCATCATCTTCTGACGTAAAAGAAGTGTCGGTCAAAACAAAAACAGTATTATATACATATATATATATATCACCATTTTATTAACATTTTATTAAATTGCACTAAAATTACAGTGACTAGCTGGTATGTTAAAAACTACAAAGTCGTTGCAAGTCACTGTGTGCTCCATTGACACATAATGGGTCCCTACTACTTGTGTGTGAATTCCACTGTTGTGTGTTTAATATCTACATCTCAGTGAGTCTTATAACATGTTGACGTGTGTGTTTTTTTTTAGCTTCCTGTTCATGGGTGATAAATATATCTTGTGGTTCAGTTTCATCAGTTTACTTGTCAAGTGTCACCAGCCCCATTGCTGGACATGTTGTATTGCTGCTCCCCTGTTAGGTTGGGCATACTACCGTATGAGAGAGGAATGTATCCTGCATTATTTTCCAAAGTGACAAGCCCTGTCAGTCAGGTATGGTGATGCAATACAGGTGTAGGGAAACAGCAATTTACATTCATTAAGACAGTCAACTTCTTATGTCAAGAATTCAAAGCATGTGTGTCATGGGTAAAAAACAATAGTGCAGGGAGGAGGCGAATGCACAGGAGGGGATTTATAAAGGGTGATTAACTTTTTTGGCAGATGCTTGAAGAGATCCTTGTGAGTGGTGAATTGGACAGTAAGCAGCACTGAGTTGCAGGGATAAAGAGATTAAGAACACACTCCGGGCCGCTCCTATCACTTATTGTTGCAACACACAGAGCTGCAAAAAAGGAAAGGGTCCCAAAAAAAAAAGGGACAGAGTTGGTATACTGCTCAGTGGGCAATTTAAAAAAATCAGGAATGCATCCAAAAGGGGGCTGCAGGTTGCAGAAGGTATTGCCTTCTTGCGATTTTTTTAAATGTTTCTTTTGGAATACAACAGTGGAGCATTGATTAATGAGAAAAATGCTGAGACTGCAGTGAAACAGGCTGTTGGCGCGAGCAGACGCACAGTTGCCTGACTGGCTGACTCCCCGTCTAACTTTGGGAACTAAGTGAGAGCAAACTGAACAAACTGACATGCTCGCCTGGCGGTTTGTGTAAAGCGCCCGCTGCTAATTATGTGCAGATATTGATAGGGATGTGTGGTTGGCCCACGTCAATGCCACTTCGCTTTGGGTTAACTTTCTAGGCCAGAGAGCCATATGAGGCGATCAATCTTACTGACTGCCATTCTGTTGTGTCACTCATTGATTGCATTAGAGTGTGTAAGTTATAAATAAGAAGGATGTTGTTCATTTAAATGCTTATGTAATGTAATGCCCTATAACATATTATGCATGTACAGTGCTTACTGACCATAAAGAGCAATGTTTCTCCTGGGGGGCCTACATGCATGCATGACATCAAATAAGGCTCATAAAGTGCTTTAAGGCATGAGATGTGGACATAAGAGGCACATTCCTGCACTTTGGAATTGCAGCTGTGGTTGTTTTTGGTAGAGAATAGTGTTTATTAATCGACAAAAGTGCTATTTTTACAGTCTAAATGTGTATATTTCAAATACCTAAAGCCTTTACAGTATAACATTCCTTCAGTGTAAGCCCTTTGAACTTTGCAATAAAAATTAATCTGCCAGTGCCTAAATTGTATTCTTAGTGTGATGTTATTTTTTTGTAGTATATTCATATGAAATCACGTCTATAAAACCTAGGCTAAAAGATTATGTTATTCAATTAACCAATTAATTGATAAAGAGATTGAAATTAGGAAAAACTAAAATTGTTCTGCAGAAAATTTTTGATCAATTTAGACATAATCCTGCAAACTAGATAATGACAACAACAAATGCACATGTTGCCCCTAAATTCATATTGCTAGCATCGATGAAGGTTTCAGCCATTTTCTTTTCTTTGATACTTGGCGCAAAGGACAGAAAAAAATGTCATTTTGTTCTGCTGCAGAAAGTAAAAAAAAATAAACTGCTCTTATAGCTGTTATGTAAACTGACTGCCTGCAGTTAGCCATTGCCTTTTTTTTATGTTGTTCAGCTATGTTGCTCAGGTCAGATTGAAGGTCAAGCATACAGACTGATATGTGTGTCATCAATATAAAAATACAGGCTAGAGCTTCCTGGAGGCGGAAAGTTTGTCAGATTTACTGTTGTAGATGTAGATGAGTGATGACAGCCGAGCTGCAGCCTCTGTAATGATGAGTCTATATACGTATTTAGAATATGTCAGAATTTCTCAAGGATCTGTTTCCGAGCTCCAGTTGTGATGTTCTGAGATTTAAGCTTAACAGATAATGTTGGCGAAAGCTGAATAAAGATTTTGGGAGCAGTAATGTTGGTTTTGATTTCAAAATAACCTTCAGGGTTCTCTCTGTTTGAAAAAACAAAAAAACAAGGAAAGTCAATCATGAATGTATAATCCTCACTTGTTCCATAGCCTCACAAGCTTGTAGCATTCAGTCTATCGATCAGCAGTCATGTGTCTCCACTTGTGCTCCATGTGTCATGTCCTATTTGCTTCACATATACAGTAGATGTGTGGTGCTTTTATCACTGAACTGTAGAAAACACTGCTATTCATTTGTGATTTGGGTTCTGAACTAAGGCCTGTATGTCAAAGGTCAGATCAAAGCCATTTTAATACATTCCCCCAAGTGAGTTAAAGCGTGAGCAGGGCAGTCTAATAAACAAAAAAGAAAGTGAAAGAAAGATTCAGTCTGTACTTTGATTCAAATTCACTTGTCTGTAAATTTCAAACAGAACGCCTGAAGAAATGTGCATCAGAATCAGAAATACTTTATTAATCCCCAGGTGGAAATTCAGTCGTGCATGTTTGAGTGAGCAAGAAATGTCCCCAATAATTCCCCTCTGGATTTACAGTGTACAGTCAGTGTAGGATTAAGTCAAGTTTGCCTCCTTGATTTCTTCAAAATCAGCAACCCATATAACATTCAAAAACCCTTCTGAGAAAAGAATGCGTTTTGTCTAACTTGTGTTGTGTTAAAGTTCTTTCATATGACAGAGAGAAAAATCAGACTCGTAACATCCCTGACAGATCTTAGAAAATGTATTTTCAGGACAGCTTTTTTCTTCCGTAGTTCAGCAATAGTGAGGAAACAGCGTATTTTAGCAAAGCACTGTAAAGATGAGTGAGCGGTTCCTGTCTCCTCTCCTGTCTGTTTTTTTTTGTCTTTTCCTGCTGGGCATAGATGAGTGACGAGGCAGAGCTGTTATGTAGCTTTCACATTTTTGTGTACGAGTGTGAGAAGAAAGAGAAGAGAGTCATCTAAATCTCATCTGTCAACATCTTAACGTTGGGAACACCAATGTTAAGATGTGGCAGCAAAAGATCAGCTATCGCAGTACAAGGATGTGGTCTCCTCCCCTCACAGATGTTAAAATTCAAATTAGGCCCATAGTGTCTCCAGAAGCCCCAAAAACAAATGTCCTCTCTCACAATCTAGTTTAAGTTTGCATACAGTTAGTAAACCTCAGCAACTACACACAGGAGATTTGGTTGCTATTTGCTAATAATGATTCATGTCTTTAAGTCAGCTGACTATTTGTCATACGTGGTCATTTTTTTTTTTTTCATAAATCAGATGTCAGTAGTTTCAGATGTTGTTTCCATCTTGTTTTTGTATTGCTCTTACTTTTGACAGTGTACACATAGTAGTTATAATAGATCTGTATCAGCACATATGTCCTGGATATGAATTAACTGATGACTGAATAAGGAGCTAAATTGAGATTAGTTGACCATTGCGTCTGTAGCAGGCAAAGCTTTTGTTTGCATATAAGAACCAGTACTTTGAAATGCCAGAAACTGTGACAAAAAGCTACAACACAATATAATAGTTGTAGCATTTGCAGTAGTTACACCCTTTAATCAAAGATAACTAAGGAGCAATAAGGCAACACAAATATAAGATTAACAGTAAAACATTTTGGATCGATAGAAAGTGACAATACAAATTGAAGCTGAGATTTGTCAGGCAGGTTGTTCTGTTGTAGTGGAGCTGTGACAGAAACTGCTCTGTCCTTTTTAGTACTCAACTTTGCTTCAGGACAGCCAGGATGGTTCTGGCAATGTGTCAGAACCCAATGTAATGTCTGCACCTTCTGTCCAGCTAAATGTTTGAAATTCAAAGCTGCAAATCATTTAAAAGACAAAAATCATGACGTTTTGAAGATGTAACGTCCAAATTATTTGTGTTTTAAAAAACACTGACCTACTTTATTAAGTGAATATTTCTAATCAAAGTAGTTTGGTAATATATATATTTTTTAAATCAAGTAAACAGTTGATTATTTATTTCAAACTTACTCACTTGTCCAAATGTTACATAAGCCCCTCTGTCCTCTGCATTGATAGATCATTAAAACACAGCTTTACTAGCCTGACGCATCATCAGTGGTACAGAATCCTGTTGCAGTTTCTATAATAAATATAAATAATATAGGAAGCAGAAAAGGTCCAGTGAAGTGAGAAAAGGGGGGGGGGGGGGGGCGAGAATCGACCATTACAATAGAATACCCCGTAGCAGTTGATCTGGCCTCTTTAAAATGAATTTGAAAACACAACATTTAGGTAAAGTTTTGAGTCACAAAGAGCACCACAAGTGATTATATTTGTGTAAATATTTCAAGTATTTTCAGAGGCTTTCCTTCTGTATATTTTCCCCACACACATGTTTCAGCTGCAGCTGTGTGTGTCTCAGTCTGTCAGGTTGCTGCTGTCTTTCAGGTGGAGACTCACTGAAGCAGACACGAACTGCAAACACAAGTCAGACACAAGTCAGGTGGTGGTGGTGGTGGTAAGGGAGGCCAGAAGGCGTAAGAGGCTAGAAAGACAGACAGCAGCAGGAGGAGGAGGAGGAGGAGGAGGAGGAGGAGGAGGAGGAGGAGGAGGAGGAGGAGGGGTCTGAGAATGACTGAGAGGAACATTTCAGGTCAAATCAGGACTGTTTGCTGAAAGTGTTTCTGAAGAGAATTGGGGGCTTAAAACTGATCTTGATTTTGTTCCAACTAAGTTTATGTCAGGTTAGAGCTGTATGTCACAGACTTATTTCACCTTTTGGAAAGTTTTTCACCAGGACTGATGTCCACGTGCCTTGTGAGCTGCCTTGACTTACTTTTAATGTTTATAAAGCATTGTTTGTTGCTTCAAGAAGACTGCGCTAGATGGGAGGTTAGATGGAGTTGCATGATGCCATAGAGATAGTGAGGCAAAAGTATCATGTTTGATTTGTCTAGCTTCTCAACTTGGTGAACAGTTGGAGGCTGCATGAGTGGTTGTGACACATCTCATGAAGGCAATTTAGTTATGTCTATTTGGAGTTACAAACATATCTCTTGCAGGGGTTTACGATAAATTGTATTTGACAATATGATTACGACGAATGAACGCATTGCCTTGTTAGCCCATAACAAACTGGCTTCTACATGTTGTGCCTCATATCACTTTAAGCCACCGGGGCCCCTGTGTGCAGCCATTTCCTGTTGGCATGGTGATACGGTGGCCTGGGAACCATGTTGTTTCCTCACCCTGAGATAGTTAACCAGACGCTTGTCATTCCTGTTATACTTTATGCTCTTCTCTTTTCTGCTTGGATGGCTGGACCATAGCCGGACAGACGGATGTCTCAAAGTGTCCCTAACAGGTCTCTGCTGCTGGCTTAACGTGGTTCGCTGATGGGTGTTTTCATTCTGTTGTCATTTGTTGCAAGTGTGTAGGTCAAGTTTATTTTGAGAATTTAATGTCATTTTTGATGTTTAACTATTATCTTCTCAGTATCACATGATGGAACACTTCTTATTTATTTTGAACTGTGTCGTAAGTCAGCCCAAGTAGACAAAAAAAAAATTCACATAAAATGGTTTCACATGACAGATAAGCTGTAGCTCTCATATTTCTTTATTAACACATGCAAGCTCATTCCTTCTGCTGTACTACATTTCAAAGTCAACGTTGCACAAAAAAAGTAACTCCATTGTTTGACATTTAAAGTGCAGAAGACCATTTCCAATATGAAGCATCCAGCCACAAAATTGCAACCAATATTTAAACAGACATTAGCTTGTTCCAAGTATTTCCTGAAATCTAGTTTCATTATTTGAATTCAGATGTTGCGTTTTCATTGTTTTAAGCGACAATTTGTAAAACATTTTTAAACGAGTGAATTTAAATTGATAGATTTTTAGGTGTCTATTATCCAGGTCTATATTTAGTATAAGAATCCATTGTATTGTTCAAATTCTATGCTATTTCTTTCCAAACATACTGATAAAAGACTCATGTAAGTAAGATTTAAGTGCAAAATGTTTTTTGATGCATGTTTTTTTTAAACCATATTTTTTTTGCTGCTTTTACTTCACTAAAGGACTTGTTGTCCACTAAGTCCATTACACACTCACCAGTCACCACACATTAGTTAAGCCACATAGCTTGGCAAGTTTGTGTCCACGTCTGCAGTACTATTGTGTGTGATCCTTAAAGATAACACTGCTGGTAAAGTCTGCATGTGCTTTTGGTCAGCCTCAGTCACAGACTCATCACTCACACAAAGATGATGTGCTACTGTCAGCTTGGTCTGGTTCAGTGTAGGAGGTCAACATAGAATTAACGCTTGAGTCAGGACCTTTCTCATCTATCTGAATCCGAGAGTTTCACCAGTGTGGTTTTGTGAGTTTGGAACGATATCCACAGAACCAATGTTTACAAGGTAGAAAAACAGAACGTATGACTGACAAAAGCTTGCTCCTAGAATGTTTCGGTGTTTCTCTGAAGGCTCAAATATGAATGAGGCACATAGAGTTTCCAGACCTGTGATTGTAACGCACACACAAAAAAATCCACACTAGCTCAAAAAAATGCGTCTTTTAACAAGACGCCTAATCACCAATTGTGTGCAGGAAGAAAGCTGCCACGTGTGGGTACAACACAGGGAGTTGATGGAAAATACATGCAGCCCATTATTTATTCTTCCCTGGCCAAATAGAGGCTAATAAAACTTTCTCTGCTTCTTCTATTTAAAACACAAATCTGGAATCCAGACAGTCATTGCACCGGTTTCCCTTCAAGGCACGATACCAGCTCAAACCCTCCCCCCTTCCAGTGATCTCTCCAAATATCTACACAAGCTTCATTCAAACTGAATACCACTGGGAAGCCTTAATGCGTCCAACAAGCTCTCAGTGTAAAGTGATTACACCAACAAGAAATGGCCACTGCCTTTTCCTCTTCCTCATCTTTGTTAACCTGCTACAGTACAGAGCAGTACAAACATTAACATAGGCTTTTGTTTAAAGTGGCTTCTAATTGAGTCTCAAAAGGAACAAAAAACATCAAAAATTGGAAGAGCTTCTCTTCCAATTTTAGACCTCTTAGACACACATTTGAAAAGTGTGCAAAATGTAATCCTTTATTTTAGCTTCTAGGTGAATTAAAAAAGATTTGTAAACATATCCTTTAATGTAGGAGTAACGTTAGTAGTTCTTTTATATTTTATATGAAGAAAATCAAAGTTGAATATGGGCAGTTAAACTTGTGTAAGGCAGCAACTAATGATCGATAATTCTCAATTAAATGTGAAAAATGTCTACATTTTGCAAAAGCCCAAAGAGAGACCTCCAAATAAATTCCTTTTCTAACAAAAAAGAATCAGTTCCAAAGACTTTTATTTTACAATCAGAAGTTAATGATAATTATAAAAGCAATAATACCTTATATGAGAGAAGGTGGAACCAGTAAATGTTGACATTATTTGACTGAAGCGAATAATCCATAATCAAAACAACCTGCAGTTAATTTCCTTTTGAAAGTAGCAGTTAAAGCTCACCTGCACTTCTAACTGATTTACCTCGAAACCAACTTCCTCACCTCCTTGTTTCACAACATGACATCATGACAATAGAAGCATTTTTATAGCTTGTATTGATTCTTTTTTTTTTCTTACATGCATGTTTATTTAATGCAATTAACTCACCGTGTGCTGCAGTTCAGCTCAATACTGCAGAGCTCAGCTCATGTCATATACTGTACTATTTCCTGCCATTTAAGCTATACTTTTTTTTTTCTTACGCAAACACATAGAGCTCATTGTTTATTGTGTATTTCAGTTATAGTTATAGGTTTATAGCTGCATACAGAGCCTGCCTCCACCCCTGAGTTCAGCTGAGCCCTGCATGCTCTGCTTTCGGGCTGCCTGTGCTCGGTGACATCAGCCCTCAAATATGCAGTCCTTCGTAGCTGAGCCAGACGAGCTCGGGTGGCCTCATTCATCTCAACGTGTTGTCTGTTCCCTTCCTCTTCAGCTTTCACATGCTCTGTATCCTCTTCTCACCAATGGTCTCTCCTCCAGATGAGATGTGTCAGATATGAGAGTTCAAAGTTGAAAAAGCTCACAATAGTTTTGTCTGCCTATCTCTTTTTTTGATATCAGTAATATTTGTTCTTTTAGGATACTCTGTCCTTAATGCAGATTGGATTATACAGTGGTCGTGGACCGTCTCTGCAATAATTGAGCGTATCGATGGTGATAAGAGATTAGTTGTGGTTTTGTTTACAGATTTGGGTGCTGCAGCTAGTCACACTCAGTTTCCTTGTACTGAAAAACATGATTCAAGTGCCTAAAATAAGATGGTTTTGTGACATGTTTCCTAGTGTTTGGGTGAGCCATTTATACTGAAGTAATAAAAAGTAAAAGGTAAAGTTATAAATACTTATGATACAGCCATCAATCTGCTCAACATTCTTCATTAGTGACTTTTTTCCCCAATTGTGGACTGGGATACTAGAATATTTCTCTGATTGGATATTTTCTGGTGGCTTTAAAAATATGGATAATTTCTTTTGTGTGAAGGTCTTTAGTTCTTCATATTTGTGAAGGATTTTCCAGCTCGTCCTCACTGCAGGCCCTGATTACCTCAATTTTAATTGTCAGAGAATGGGTTTAACATCTGCAGAATGCATGGAGGGTGTTTGACATTTATTTGCGTAGGAATGTGAAGGCTCCAGCTCTTTCTACCTGTGACTAATACTTTCCCCACGTGTGTTTTCCTTACATGACACCAGGCTTTAAATGTTTTTTTTCTTTCTATCCCTCAGAATGAAGAGAAGCGTAACCTGAATTTGGGAGGCCATGTGGGATTTGACAGCCTCCCTGACCAACTGGTCAGTAAATCCGTGACTCAGGGATTTTGCTTCAATATTCTGTGTGTAGGTGAGTAACAAGCCACAGCATGTCTGAAAGTAACTGAATACAATTAGCACCTCACAAAATTGCCATGCTTGAACTGATTTCTCTTCACTATTTTTTAACCATAGTCTTGATTTGTTTACCTCCAAACAACATGTTTCACGACGACAAATCACCAACATTCTGTTATTTTCCTGACATGAAATCAAGGCACAGACCTCCCACTTGTGTTGCTGCAATAAAAATGTCCTGTCTGATAGTGAATTAATTACTCCCTGGTGTTTGAGTGATTTAACTTACTCTGCCTCCATTTTCTCTCTTCTTGCTATAATCCACAGGGGAGACGGGTATTGGAAAATCAACGTTAATGAACACGCTCTTCAATACCATGTTCGAAAACGAAGAGGCAAGCCATTATCAGAACAGCGTGTATCTGAGGCCGCGAACATACGACCTGCAGGAAAGCAACGTTCACCTGAAATTGACGATTGTTGATACTGTTGGCTTCGGAGACCAAATAAACAAGGAATTTAGGTGAGGAGGAGGAAATCTGGCATGATCTGCATTCTTTTGCATGAAAAGTGAAGTATTTTATGAAATCCAGGAAGCTAAAACACACACACACACACACACACACACACATACACACACCACACATGCACACACCACACATGCCTGCTCCTCTCCTTCCTCATTCCTTTTGTACACACAGCGGCTTGTCTTACATTGCTTTTGTACCTTTTTAACTCTGTTTTTTTGACATAGCAGTATGTGAGGACGCTAAAATGCATTACCAGTGTTTTGAAATGTTTCTCTTGATATGTTGTATGTAACACCAGGGGATCAGCGTTTGGCCTATTGATGATGACACTTATGATGCACATCACAACGATCACTGCAGGTGCAGAAAAGTATTAGAGCATGTTGAATGAGAAGGTGCAGTTTTAAATCAGGCATAGCACCCTTATCGTCGCATTTATGGGAGGGACGTGCGTCAGCTGACTTCCCACTCCCTCTTTTTCTCTCTCTAGCGTGTGTCTCTCCTCTCTCACTGTTTCTCAAAAATGTCAGGAAATGTACTTAAGAAATGTAGGGCTGGTTGCCCAGGTATCGTCTGTGTGAGAAACACTGGTACAGGCTAGTATTTACCATATTTGGTCTTGAATGACAATATACATCTTGTATGTCTTAAATTGATTAATGGGACACAAAAAATTGTCAGCCACACCAATTGTTAGACCATTCTGCATTTACAGTAACAGTAATTGATATGGAGCCATGTGAGAAGTTCAGGACGAATGTTTCAAGCTAAAACTACTTAAAGGTCATCTTCAGTGCTTTAATCACTTGTATAATTATCTAAAAAGCCACCCATTTATTCAGCAAGTATGTGTTGCATTTTAATGGCTGTAAACAGGTTTGAATATAAAATCCAAATCAGATCACTGTAGTGCAGAAAGGAAATCCATTATCTCTTCAAGTTTAAGTAAATAAGCAAAGAACATTCAACTACACATTATTTTATACCAAATGTTCTACTAATCATCAATAAAAAGAGTCCATTTAGGCAAACCATCGCTGATTTACGATGAAATGGAAAAAATGCTTTTCCTTTGAATCCTGACTGATGTAACAACATATTTTCCTGTCAATCCTCATCCAAAACCTCTTTTCTATTTGCAAGTTGTCAACTGCATAGTTTTGCTAAAATTAGGTCAATGTTGCCACGTAATACAAATGAAAGAAACAGGCACAAAGGAATATCAGTCAAGGTTTCTGCACCGTTTTCTTTCCTCCGTAGGATGGAAATAAGTAGTGATGGGGAGAAAAAAAAAGGATTCACTTAAGTATTTGGATTTTTGATTAGATGTTGTAAAAAATCCCCCTGGGATCGATTATAGTGATGTCGTACCCGTTTACAGAAAAACGACTAATGTGTGCCAAGAGAATGCAGAAAGAGAAAAAAAGCATGCATTGTTTCCTCTAAAGCCCTGAATCTTTCAGGCTATTAATAAAGCTATAACTCAGCCTCATCCCTCATCAGTCTCTCTGAATGAAATGGTAAATAAATAAATAAAAATCTATTAATAGGGAAAACAGCTGCTTTTCATCCCAACTGTTAAAAGATTACCTGCGGCGAGTTGTTGTCGTGTCTGTATGTATTCAGTTTCATACAACCATCTCTGTGAGCAAGTAGGCTATCTAGCCTATCAGCTCATCTAATGAACATTCCGTTTTACAAGGAAAATAAAACCTCAGCTGTCATCCCCAAAACTAGATTGTGGGATTTGGATCCAGTAAACCATGGGTATTTGTTCCAGGTCAGTGAAACCGCTTGTAGCAGAGAGCCGGGGAGGTGATCATTGATTAATCTTAGACCGCTAGTTTTTGTTGCGGTTAGCTCACAAGCTAAATAAGTCAATTTTTAATTAAAGAGCTGTTCCCAGTGAAGAGAGAGCAAAATCAGCAGCATGCGGGTATTTGGGAGGCAACCACTCCACCCAGCGTCTTTGTTAGAGCGTTCAGTCTTTGTTCAGGGTTTGTTCAGCCGCTCTTGGCCCTACTACTGAAAAATCTAAGCTCAAAAGACAAAGACTGTCTGACGTGATGTGCATTGTTTTAGGAAATATAATTTATATATTCAGATGTTCTTCTCTCTCTCTCTCCTGTTATATGGTTCAACTTTTGTTTTGGTAGAAAACAGAATAGAAAATCGCAATAATCAATACTATCAGATCCAGTCTGTCAAATCGAGACTGTAGCATATCGCCCCGGCCCTAGGATTGAGACAGGAGATGAGACGGCATGGATAACGTTTATTTAATTTTTTTTAATTCAGCTGTGGAATGAAGTGATGTTGTTGTGGCCAAGCCAGTGTGCAGCACTCTCACGCCCTTTGGTAGCAGCTTTCCCTGCAGACTGTATAAACCAACATACTGAAGGACAGACCCTGAAGCAGACTGTAAACGCTCACTGAGAGCCTCCAAAGGTCAGAGTTTGTGCATTCCACAGGGGAAGATGGAAGATAGATGTGAATGAAGAAGACAAATGACTGTTAATGGAGCTAGCTGAGGATATAGAAAATATTTTTTACACTTCTCTCTCTCTCTCTCTCTCTCTCTCTCACTGAGTAGTAACATGACATTTATGAAGACACACAATTGAGAATGTAATCTCAACTTGTGAGTATTCTGAGCATATGATCAACAGGGACATGTTTTAAGAGAAGGAGGGGAACACTTGGATTTTCAGACATATTTATTTGAGGCAGAGTACAAGGCAAAGAGAATTCAGGGGGAGCAATGCAAAGGCTGTGCTTTCATAGCATCCTACTACATGCAGGCACTGCAGCTTGCAAGCAGAATAACTCGATTTCATTGGTTGTAATTGCATGCACTGAGGAACTTACTGCTTCATTGACTCCACTAATCATAAATGCGGTTAAAAAAAACGTAAGATTTGTCATCTCTTAGCTCTAAACCTGTGCCTTTTGGGTTTGCACTCTGTAGGTGGCTCAGAGCATGTTGCACTTCTTAATGTATTGAGTATATTCTTGTACTGAACGGGTTCTTGTTGTGTACTCTCTTTAATCTGGGTTACACTTCAGTGTCTTGGAAGAATTTAGTGCCTCTGATGGCTTGTAATATTAGTTCATCAGTTTTGACTATGACATTACTTAAAATTGTATATACTGTAGTTTTACAAGGCATTTGATTGTCAATTTGGTTGGATATAGCCAGACGTGAAGTAAAAGCAGAGGGTGACACCAACCTCATTCTGTGACTTACATCTTAGGCAGCCATGATGCAGTATGTTATACATGTAGCTGAATCTAATGGTGTCTTTCTCATCACTCCAAACGAACTGAACTAATTGAGTTAAAGCTGCATTGTCATATTAACTTCTCCAGACAGGCTTATTGAGAAAATTCCATTAATTATCTTCACACAGTTTAATGTCCTAAAATAAATAATCAAATATGCTTTAAAAGATGTACTGGTTTATTTCTATTGTTGGTTCATGATGGAGTAAGACTTGTCTAGTAATGGAGGGCATGTGCAGTCTTTGACATATGTTTCTGGTCCTTTTTGTTTAAGGACAAAAATGTGGTTATCAGCCGATACTTCAAAACACTGCTGTTTCCATTTCCTGTTTTTATATTTACTGCTAACACTAAAGTCTAGTAAGACCATTCATTCATTTCGACAGAGGACAGAATATCTTGCAGTCTCTGTGATTTGTTCCAACAAGACTGCCAAAAGCAGAACTCAAAATGCATGCAGCACTACGCTATACAGCTCTAAGCTGAGATCTTGGCATAGAGTCTGATCACACAGTAACTGAAAACACAACAGTCCCAGTTCATTTCCCAAGTGACAACTCCATATTTTCTTTTATCACCAGTGCATGACAAAGAAGTCAGACATTTAAGCTTCAACCCTCAGTCATGAATACTTATCCTTTCTCTTTGGCATCTTCCACAGCTACAAGCCAATTGTGGACTACATCGACACTCAGTTTGAGAATTATCTTCAAGAAGAGCTGAAGATCAAGAGATCCCTCTTCAATTACCACGACACGAGGATCCACATCTGTCTTTACTTTATCTCCCCGACAGGGCACTCTCTGAAGTCCCTAGACCTCGTCACGATGAAAAAGCTGGACTCTAAGGTGACAAACAACTCACAAACACACTTACATAAACATGCTGTTGTCTTCTTCCCCTTTTGGCAAAACGCACACAACCCTTGCTGAAATTTGACCGCCCTTTTAGGGTATGTGTCCACAGACAGTGCTTTTTGGCATCTAGAAGCCAAAGTGTGATATCCTTTTTTGCAACTGAAAAAAAGTTGTGATCCAGTTTTCTGTATTGACCTTGACAGTTTATGATGTTTTACATTACAAGGAATAAGTAGGTCTTTGTGAGGGTTTTATATAAGATCATGGAAATCAATGACTCTTTATTCTACAATTCACTTAGCAGACGCTTTTATCCAAAGCAACGTACATCAGAGAGTAAGTACAACACAAAAGGAAACAATGTCAGTAAGTGCAAACGATCAGCTTTGAGTCCGATTGGACACACAGGTGCTGACAGGCATTGCACAAAGGCAAAGCACAACATTGACGGCAGTTCTTGAGAGCTCTCATCAGTATAGAAACCATCTTAAAAGTCGCTGTTATCAACAAAACCATCGTCATTACCATCACCATCACCATCACAAAACCATCGTCATCATCTTTATAATTCTGAGTTGCAGTTTGACATATTTGCAGTTAACATTATTACAGGTCAGCCATACACAGGTCAATAGTCTCACTCAGTGCCACATTGATTTGTGGCTTTTGTCATTGCTCTGTTGCGAGTATTACTACATGGTTTATTGGTCAGTGGATCCATGTTTTGTCATACATCCGGTGAGTGCGGACAAACTGAGACAAAATCATTGGCTTGACCTCAATCCGAAGAAAAGTAGAAAAAACATCTCATCATAACAGCAGTTGAAGTGGGGAAAAAGGTGAGGTAGTTTGAGTGGGGAAGGACGAATTCAGAGTAAGTAAGTAAGATCATTTGAAGGTTAAAGTTGGGGATGTAGCGTATATTTAAAATTGTATTAGTACATCAGGGCGTGTGTTTTTCTACCAATCTTTGCATGCTTTACCGCAATGGCTATTGTGACTCCTACTACCAACACATTTCCTCTGTAATCCCAATAGGTAAACGTGCTTCATATTAAGTGTATTTGCCATGAATATAATGTATCATATAGCGGTAGAGAAGTCTTTCTGCTTGATAAATTCAACCTGTTGATGTTTTGATCAAATATTTATAAAACTGTCTCAGGCCATAAACACAGCTGAACACTTCAGTGGTTTTAGGATTTAAACTCTTAAGTTTCAACATGTGGGAAGTTTTGAGTTTCAGATCCCCAAAACATTTCAGAGCACATGTTTACAAAGCCCCGAAGAAAGAAAGAGGCATTCAGAATGCAAACCTAAATCATTTTGTGTCTTCAACTCCATATGCACTTGTTTGACTAAAGAAAGAGAAGGATTATACTGACATCTTAGAAGCCCTTCAGCTAAGAAGCCATCAAAACATTTATTGTGTTGTGAACTGCTTGTATTTATACATATATTATATAATATAAATTATAATTTATAGCTGAGTTTGAGTATGCCTTTCTGTATAGCAGGTAAAAATTGTATTTGATAAACAGCACTGCTGTAAAGATGACAAGGGGCAGATTTAGCCCTGCTTGTGTTTGATCATCCAGAACAGAATCTAGAACAGAGCAGATGGTCAACTTGTGACCAAAACATGCTGACTAACCCCTGCCAACAATTGACGCACTGTTGCACATCTCTGCCAAACGACTCCTGATACTATTCAGAACAAAGACTAGACCTCTCAGTCATCTCTTAGTCTCAAAGACCAGTTAGAAATTGGATTAGAAACAATTCCTTGATCATCGTAAGTTTTCACCCAGTTTTGTGATCTAATGTTGTGTTGATTTATTGAACATAAAATGCTCGTTTAATTTTTTAAATCATTGAAAAACTTGAGTCTTAAAGAAATGCAACTGTTTTATTTTAAATGGGATAACAATCACTTTGACGCTACACTGACTGGTTATAGGGAGAATTCCACCTCTTTCATTCCCAATACAGGCCAAAAATTATTTGTTTGCATGTTGTAACTTGGGTTAAACTGATACAATCACCCTGGATTAGTATGGTATACATTTTTTTTGCAGTAAGCTTCAAAGGCAAACACCTCCTAGTACCGCTCTTACCTTAGCTTTGCAGTACAGACACCAAAACAGAAGTTAGGGGACCAAAGAGGACCTTTTACTTACCGCAGAGAGAGTGAATGTACACAAAAATATAAATTCTTTGGTAGATAATTTAAACAATTCCTTGAAGACTTTTTTTATTTAGTCATCTATTGATTATACAACCAGCTTTAGCCTTACTGCTACAACTAACTGTATTTTCAAGGCAAAACTCTCGAGAGCCATAGCAAATTAGGGGAAACGTCCATCAGCCAAAGGAAGTCTTCTGATTGTTGATTTCTATGTTAGAACCAGAAACAGGTCTGATCTGAGAAGAAACCCAATAAACAGCAGAGAGAAGTTCACACACAATAGGCCAAGATACAAACTCAGCACTCTTCAGGCTGTGAGGTGACAGCGCTAACCCCTGAGCCTCTGCACTACTGTCTTTACATGTTGTCAGAGTGATCGAATCCTGGCAGCCTGGATTGCCAACTGTTTCCTGCTGCCATCCAAAGCACCACAGCAACCCACAGCCAACTCTCTCTGCCCCCTGCTTTGAAGCAAGACATGAAAGCCTACCTGCCTGAGCTAAATATATTTCCGATGTGATGCAGTGAACATGAGCTGAACGTGTTGTGCTATTGTATAGCAGCTTACCCGCTACACTCACCGCTAATATGAGTGAAAGCAAAACAGCTTATCAAACATAAATCACTCTTTCCATTCATATCAACACAACTCTTTTTCTTTCTCCATGACTGATACTACCAGGCCTTTTTCTGTTCAACACTGCCAAAAGGTTGAAGTGTAACAGCAATGGTGGTGCTTTTGTTTAGAGTTGTCAACAGCTTTTGTTTGCCACAGTGGACTCCTCAGTGGGGGGCCATGATGAACACCACTGTCAGTTGATCAGTCCCAGTGATCTAATTTCATGTGAAATATGACCACTGTTTGATTTAAAAGCAGGACAGCGATCATGTTGACAGTGTGACACAGTTTTGTTTTACTTGCCCGATACTCCACTTCCACAGATACTCTTAAACCTTTGGATTTAGCAGTTTTACGTATTCAATTTGGAGCTTAAGATTTTTTTCAGTCATCAGAGTGGTTATTTGTCAATGAACCGACTCACTGTTCAGTATGTGAGATGTCAAAAATACAGAAAAATAAATGTTCTTTGCACCTTTAAAGAGACAATTTCAAGTTTAAACCAACTATCAAAACATAATCAATCAATCAATCTTAATTGGTATAGCGCCAATTCATAACAAGTGGTATCTCCAGAAACAAAAAGCAGGTAAAATACCTTACTTATTGCTATATTACAAAGACCCAGCGTTAATCCATCATGAGCTTAGCACTTTAGCAACATTTTAGCAAAAGTTACTACAGTGGCAAGAAAAATGTCCTTTTTAAGAGGCAGAAATCTTGCCTCATAACTGATTTGTTTATGACTCATTTCAAGTAATCTAATCGCCCAAACATTTCAGTACTAAAGGAATAATACAAGTGATTATTCAAGTTACCAAGTATACATTTTAATGCCACCAGAAGGATTTCAAGAGGTGCTGCATTTTCAGGAGAACAATTAGGGCCCAGGGTTTGATTTCTGTCAAGGGAAGAAGAACTACATGCGAATATCAACTTAAATCTTGATAAAAGAAAGGATAAGTGAGCAGATCTATCTTTCCTGCCACACAACCCTGCCAGAGAAAAATAATCTGGGAAGCACACCAGAAACAACTTTTCCCTCATTCTTTAGAGTTTCCAGTCAAATCGACACAATGGTGTTTTTCTTCTTAATGTGGTACGGATCACCCCACCCTCTGTGGGAGTGATTATGGCCCACAAGAGCGAGCGTGGTTAGTGGTAAAGGAAGGCAGGAAGAGAGATAAGGCTTTGAAGGCGGGGTCTTCTGTTTTAAATGGAGAGATTTTGTCTTAAATAGAAGGAAATCATAAGCAGTTTATGTAATACCAGAGGCCTGATATTTCCTGATAACCTTTAAAGTCATTCATAGTTTGACTGTAATACAAAAGTCAAAATGACCTACAAAAGTCAACCAGTCTTAGAGAAAAGATAGATGAGTTCTATAGAGGTCATTTCTATGTCACTGCTGTTGTGGGGTAGATGTCTGGTGATTAACAGCTATATGTTGAAACAGCCTAAATATAAATAAATAGTTTCCATAATTCTATGTAGCACTTTAGACATCGACAAAAAAGGGTTGAACAGGAAAACCACACATGTACAAATAAACATGCTTTGTAGACAGGTGTTGCCAAAATCAACATGAAGTTCTCACAGGAGCTTTAATATGCAGAATTAAAGGCAGAGATGTTTATTTAACCTTTAAAGAGAGCTTCATGTCTGTGTTCTTACATGAGTTATTAGTCAAATCTGAACTGCTTGATACCAGAGTTTGCATCAAAATGAATACCACCATCCAGAATCATAACTCAGCACATTTTCTTAAAGATGCAGCGTCATTTACACTCTCCAAGGAAACCATCACCACCAGTGTTTGAAGCGAATAAATATCAAAAGTATTCTGAGAAATTGTTGACTTAGGCAACCTAACACTTGATCATTTTATATACAGGTATTTTTCCTGTGTATTAAAATAAAAAGTTACAGAAATATCAGAAAATGAGAATTTCATTACTCCTTGATAATCTTACGTAATGCAGTAATTTGATGAGGTCGAAGATCACCATCTGGATCTCCTACTTGTTTTAAACACACATCGAGAACTCTGTGGGAATACTCGTAGGCCAGCTGGGAAAACTCGGTTGTGGGAAGTGAACAAATATCTTTGTCTCCTGCCTCCCTTGGCTGCTCTAGGGAACACACAGCAGGGCTGTTGTCAGTACTGGATAGTCATTAGTGAACATTGCTTGTAAAATAAGGTTTAAAACACAATACTGGCTACCCTGCTGTAAATTAATGATCTAGTAAAGTATGATGAGCCTGTAAGTTGAATTCTAACAAGCTCTGGCTCTCCCTCTGAGTCTCACTGTGGAATTGATGAGTGGATCTGTGGGGATCCTCCTCATTCACCCTCCTCATCCTTAGTGATTTGAGTAATGCTGCTGTATCAAGGAATTCCAAAACACTGTGTTTATATCTTCACATCTGCTGCTGATTGGAGATGGAGCCCTGTTTGTTTTCATAATCACCGTTTGTTTAATGTGTCTTTAGGGCTTCTGACTGAGCAGTTTTCATGTGCATGGTCTGGTGTGCTTCCTCAGCCATGTTCAGTGAGGTCTTTATTTGGTTTATGTTTTTAATTAGGTCCTCAGTATGTTTTATTTAGCTTCATCCACCGTGTTTGTTTTTGAACCTCTGAAAAATAGACCTTAATTGTTCTGATTTGTGATTCTGTGAAGACATTTGGCTGATTCTCTGTAATCATATTGAGCTTGTGTTTATCTGTTATGAACGCAAGTCAAACCAGCTTAAACAAAACAATGACATAACACATTCAATCATATATGCTGAATAACAAAGCTGCTTTCAAAAATGCTGGACATATTGCACATGTATTTTATAACGGTTTCTTTTTCTCATTGGTTCCTTTAGGTGAACATAATTCCCATCATTGCCAAAGCTGACACGATCTCCAAGAGTGAGCTCCATAAATTCAAAATAAAGATCATGAGTGAGCTGGTGAGCAACGGCGTCCAGATCTATCAGTTCCCCACAGATGATGAAGCCGTCAGTGAGATCAACGCCTCCATGAACGTGAGTCATGTTGTCACACTCCAATAATCACAATCTTGTAGTCGATATTTTCACCATTATGTGTTCATTATAGAATTGCGAACACACACTGATGGCTTGTTCTTTAAACTGTTGACCCACAGAACTTCTGGTATCTGTTTTCCTACTGACATGTAACCTCACGCCTTTACCACCACATGTGCTACACATCTGGCAACGGCAGCACATGTTAACACTAGCTTATTACTTTTAGGACATGCTGAACAGTAATGTAGTTTCTTTTATCGAGGCACTTTTTTAATCCCACAAATCTGAGACTGTACTAAAAAACTCAAAATATCTGCAATTTACTGTTCACAGATAAGCGCTAGAGCCTGCTTTTTAAAACATTTTTTTTTTTTTTTTAAGATTTATTTTTAGGCTTTTTTGTGCCTTTAATGCAGTGATAGTACAGTGGATAGAGTCGGAAATCAGGGAGAGAGAGTGGGGAACGACATGCGGAAAGAGGCCACGGGTGGAAGCGAACCCGGGCCTCCCGCTCGAGACGACAGCCTCAATACATGGGGCGCGCGCCCTAACCACTGCGCCACCAGCGCGCCCCGAGCCTACTTTTTATTGAAACTTTCCATGAAGTTCTAAACATTATCATACGATCACTGATCCTGTTTGATTGCACCAGTTCCCCGTACCTTGAATATCTCTATAATACAAATAACTTGTACACTAGATTGCAGCACATGCTCTTATACTGCTGCCCATACTCTGGTGCCTTTTTTTGAGGCAGCAAACATGAACACATCTCCCTAACAGTACTCAGTACCATTTTTAGTGGCAATGTTATAATTGGGATGATGTATAATCACACTTTACTCAAAACACTCACCCACACATGTACAAATGCGCAAACAGTAAATTCTCCCATGTACTTGTTCAGTATCCCCATCTATTCATAGTCGGTTACATCAGCACCCACACTCACCAGCTTGTTCCTCTGAGCTGCAACCAGCCAGCTGGTTCCAACTCTCCGCCTAATTTTTGAGGTTGTGTATCAGGCATGTTTTCCCTCCATGAAGCCTCGCTGTTGATCCTAACAAGGCGTATTAGTTCTGAGAGCAATGAGAAGGTAGATGTGTGTTTAATCACCTCAACGAAATTGGCCTCTCAGACCAGACTGAACCACATGTTACACATAAAAGAGAGCTTTGTTGCTGCTCATATTTCAGCATGGTTACACTACTCTCTGGTGTGGTCTGGTTGTGAAAGATAAGACAGACGCCAGCCACAGTAAAAAACAGAATTTATTGGAAAAACTCAGGTTTACTGTCTCTCCTTGTTGTGCTTCTTGTTGTTGGCTGAAATGTTACCGTGTTTTTTTTATTAAGAGTCTAGGGGAAAAACTCATTAAGAAAAAGTAACCCGTAAAAAACAAAGCAGCTGTGATTGTGCCTATCTGGTAGTGGCTCCATTTACGTCTATGACTTTTTAAGGCTTTAAAAACTTTAATGTCTCTTTTTGTTCAGGCTCATCTTCCATTTGCTGTGGTTGGAAGCGTTGAAGAGGTCAAAGTGGGTAACAAAACCGTGAGGGCCAGACAGTACCCCTGGGGTGTTGTGCAAGGTGAGAACCATTTAGAAGCAAGATAATGGCTCGGGGTGTTTGTGTGTCTCTAGCAAACACAACAGTAAGTTCATGAAGGGGTCAATGAATGTCCAGATTCCCTTTCTCGAATGAATGGAACTAAATATTTTTAGCAATAAGGCAGAGGGATTTGTCAAACTGTGATATTTGCACTGTTATCCTTGTGGATCTTAAGACCTGTAACACATCTCTGACACATTAACCTATGTATATAAAAAAATGTTAAGTTTGAGTTCAGTTCCATTAGAATGGGTTCTCCATGAAACTCCATCTTAATAATTATTTAATAATTTCCTGTTTTACAATAATAAATGTAATACTAAGAAAAGATTTAGCTAATCTCATTCCAGTGTTAGTCTTGACTTAGCATCAACAAGGGTACACATTGTAAGAAAATTCAGCAGCTTGTGGTGGAGTGGCGAGTGCATCCCACAGTTTGCCTATTTATTTATACCCGCCCTGTTAATGCCAAGTGCCCTCCACAGCTGTGAGTGTGACTTCATGCAGAGTGACACTGTGAAATGAAGGGTGAGTGGGCAGGGATCGTTTTGGGAAGTTATCAGTGTGTGTTCTTGTGATGTGTAGGGTGATATCTTTCTCTGTGTTACTTTTTCTCTGCCTTTGTGTTTGTGTTTATGGCACACTTGTGCATCTGCATGCATATGTTGCCATCGGTCACATCCCTTTTTGTTTTCCACATCTTATTCCCCCGTGCTTGTCAATTAGAGTCAACATTTTAATTTAATGTCACGCAGAGGTCTGCTGTGAGAACATTACTGCTCAGATGGGAGTTCTCAGATATCCCCCCCCCTCTCTCTTGCCCTTCTTTCCTCGGTTTACTGCTCTTGTTTCCTCAGCCCCTCTTCCTTTCCTCCCTCCATTATCCACTGACCGTTTCATTACCCAACCCTCTGCGGACGTTGTAGATAAAGCCTGCTGTCTCCTGGGGACTGACTCTGTCAATTTACATGAAGCTGAGGTTCACTCCAGTAACAGACAAAAAAGAGCAATCTGCAGAAAGTTTTCTCAGCTTTACTGTGAGCTCTTTCCTTGTGATTTGACTCCATCATAAAGATATCGTCATTATTTTAGGGACAGTTGTGGTTCAGTGGTCGTCTCTCAACCGGACGATTAGGTGTTCGATGTGACCCATGACCATTTTACTTTGTCATTTTTCAGCAGCAAGTAACTTCAGGTAGATATTAGATGGTCTGGAACTCTGCAAATTTGCAAGATTACAAATACAATTAAAGGGGGGGAAACGATGCAAAGGATTATAAAGCAAATTATTTCATCTTCGTTTAAACAAACAGGAAATGAAGTGGAAACATATGGGACCTGAATGTCACTTATTATCTTATTATATTGCTGTATTTAGTAGGTGCAACAAAAGATCAAGAACTAGAATCTACATTTTATGATTATTTTCGTGGAGCATTCAAAGATAATAGTGTAAAATCTAGAGGAGACTGACATCTTGTGTATAAATAACTGACAATACACATTTCTGAAACCCCCTTTGTATCGTGAATGTAAGTTTTTACTTTGGTTTTGTTTTTATTTTTGTCTTATCTAATCCACCATGGAATCTCAATCTAAAACCAAAAAGCAGAATGGAATACAAGCAAGCCTCATTGCTTTAACCAGTACTGCTTGTAATCAGATGGCTCACCATTTATTCAACACACTTTGTCACAGTATCTGAGCACTCAGGCAGAGGAAGACAGAAGTCTCAGTGTTTGACTCCACTTGGCCGGCTGAAAAGAAGGCCTGTGTCAGTGGAAACCGTTTTAGATGCCAGATGTCATATAGACGGGTTATGGTAACCTCTTGAAGAGCCATGGGAAATTTCCAAAGACTCCAGAGAAGACAGAAGAAGGGCTGTCTACTGACAAAAGAGTAATTGCATGGCGTTCAAGTGTGTGTGTTTATCTTCCCTCAGGATCTTGTTGCTCTGTTATCTCTGAACTCCAAACATCTTCGGCATGAAGAGGATCTCTCGTTAGGGTTGAATGTAGTTAAAAATGGCACAAAATTAAAACCATATTTGTAATATCAATATGAACCATTATTGTAAACAAATGTTACGGAAAATCACAACAACAAAAAGTTGTTTCTAGGTACATCAAACTATTTTCCACAGGCATACATTAAATTTAACAATATTTTTACGATTTGAAACATGTAATGTTTTAAAATTTCTGTTTGATATGGTCAATGGCATTTTGATTTTTGTGAACAATAACAGAACAATTTTTTTTTTGGCCCTAAAATGATGTTTCGGTTGGTCAAAATGGTGATCAAGCATATTTTCTGGGGTAAATTTGTGTGATTTCTCAGCGAAACTACCCATAACTGTTATATTGATTATGCTGCGTCACTAAAAATATGCTAAAGCCTTGACACACTAACACATAACCGGATGAAAGACCAGGAACAAATGGGCAGTTTGTAAGTTAAATAAAAAGAACTAGGGGCCGGACCGTGTGCAACATGATGTGTTAATGAATTTTCAATTTTCACTCCAATTGTATTACTTTTTGATATTCACTGTTAAATTTGCAGCCATGTAGTCTAATTTTGTTCTCATGCTGCAGAGCCCTGTGCTCAGATATCTTCAAGGCTCAATGCTGCAGTAAGTCAGAGGATTGGCCCGCATTCAGCCCTCAGCAGGGGGCCCGTACAGAAAGGCTATTAGATGCCAAATGAACAAGCAATTTCAGTAGTCTGGATGCAGCCCCAGAGAACAGCTCATTCCTGTTTTTAACTCAAATATTCCCACTAATGATGTGCAGTCAGCCAACAAATGTAAGTAGAAAGTAACAGTGAGTGATTTAGACAGCTGCATCACCACATCGCTTTGGGCCAGAATGTGTTAAAGTAGGCGAGGGCAAGTTTGTGCTTATATTTTCTTACTTTTTATTCTCGTCTAACAAAGAGAAGTATTATGAAACTGGATTGTTTGGGCCCTTGAACATTCCATTTTTTTAATTTTTAAACTATGGTATGTAATCATGCACTGCAGACTCCTATCCTTGCATTTTCCATCTGGGGAGCTAAATGGCATGCTAATTGGGCTTTCAGTGTCATTATTGCTGCCTTTACTTCCTCTTAAATCCTAAATACAACATACATGCCGTGCTTTTCCACTGTTAACCTTTGGGTTCATGGCAGATGCTCCAACCACTTAAAGACCATGTGCCTTTACTCTGCATGGGCCCTTGGCCACATCACACACCAGCTCTGGGACCATAGAAAAACTCTTCAGTGTACCTCTCTGAGGTTTGCCAACAGGTTTTATCACGATAAATTCTTGAAAAGGGAAAGTTATAATTTTTTTTACAACACATCTCTGTTTTAATGTGGCATTGTTGCTTTTTAAGGTAAGCCAGCTGACGTATCGCGTTGTACACTGGATAGACGGTGAGCGAAGCTGTGCTCAAGGATTTTAATACTTTGCAGACATTTGGCATTTCAGTGGGCCAATATTTAAAGAGAAGATCAGGCATATCCAATCTAAAGCAATTTAACAACTTTCCACATAGACTATAAAGGTATTATGAGGTTTGAAAATGGCAGAGAACTTACTGTCTGGAAGGGAAAGTTCAGTTTTGAAAAGGAGGAGTGCAGAAAGTAGAGCAGAAAAGCTTCTGACTGCAGCGTGTCTGCAGGCCTCAAAAAGTCTTAAAACGCATGGAATTAAGTTTCCTCATAAAAGCCTTTGAAGATATTAAAAAGTGTTGGATTTAATTAAAAAAAAACTTTTACATGGCGTTTCAGTCAACATCAGTCACTATAGCAACCACTGTCAGTACTGCGAGTTACAATGGGAACATGGGAAGCTCTTACTTTTACATTGGAAAAATATACGTTTTAGTGAAAAACTCACGTGCATCTGTTATTCTACAACTTTTAAAATCAGTCTCACGTCTATTATCATTATTATAAATTATCAACTTTAACTTCTTTAACATCATCAGTCCTCCCAATTTCCTTACCATTTTAGTTGCTAATGTTACTACAAGACGGATCAGTCTATTATCATACTAAGCTGTTTCTGCTTGTACTACACATACTTGTACCTTCATAACTGACATTGTATCTTTAAGCCTACATCTATGTTATTCATTGCTCTTCCATCTCTTTCTTCATCTCCCTCAATCCCCTCACAACTCCAACACAGTTTTGTCAGATGGCTGTTCAACATGACTCCGGTTGTGCTTGAGGTATCTGCCTCTTAAAAGTGGTTATTTCTTGCCACTTTGCTCACTGTTGCTCAGGGATTTCTCTTTTCATATTTTAACCAAATTGTTTCATCCAGACCATATTCTAAAAGACCAGAGATTGTCCACGCACCCTGCCCACTTGCTAACCTTTCATCTGGACTCTTAAAAAACTTTTTTTAAAATCATTATTTTAATTTCCAGCACAGCGGAAATTGTTTTAGTTGGAGCAGATGAGGTGACCTATGAGTAAAAAGGCTTCATCAGAATGGAAATGACGCCCAGGGCACATTCCCCCTCTGCTGCTGTCAGTCTGTTAGGCAGGAAATGCTTTCTGCCCTTTCCCCACCATGAATTAATTTAACTGTTTTGACATCAAACTAAGGGAAACTTGTTTAAGTTGATCCTGAGAAAAAACAACTGAACAATTTGAATTGAGCGTAACATTCTGCCAATTTTTAACAGTAGTTAGTTAGAAGAGTGTGATAGATTGGCTTGCATTAAATTTATGAAAAAATTGGATTTCTTCCCTGAAGTATGTGCTCACTCCTTCACATTCCTGACGATTTGGTATGATTTCCTGCTTTGAGAGAGGAAGGGAGTGAGACAAGGTGACAGATGGGGTGTTAAAAATAAATAAGAAGCAGTAAAAATGACAGCCAGGCATGTAATAAAGCAAGAAACAAAGCTCCAAGACATGACTGCATATTGCTTTGCTTACCAGAGCTCATTAACACATCTAAGATCATTTTCAACTCCAATACATGGAGTACATGTGTTGGAAATGATGGAGTGATAAACTGACCTAACCCTGGTGTTTTCCCCCCTCTCCAGTTGAGAACGAGAGTCACTGCGACTTTGTCAAACTGAGAGAAATGCTAATCCGGGTCAACATGGAGGATCTGAGGGAGCAGACACATGCCCGCCACTATGAGCTGTACCGACGCTGTAAACTGGAGGAGATGGGCTTTAAAGATACAGATCCGGATAGCCAACCATTCAGGTAGGCGGGATGAGAGAGTGTGAAGAAGAGTCAAAACCACAGAGATACTCAATCGCTAACGATGGAGAGAATGTGTCTAGTGTTTTGGAGGCGATACCTCACCCATCACTGACGTTTTCTTCACTCTGTCCTGTCTTTTCTTCCCGCTAGTCTGCAAGAAACATACGAAGCAAAGAGGAAAGAATTCCTTGGAGACCTGCAGCGTAAAGAGGAAGAGATGCGGCAAATGTTTGTGAACAAAGTTAAAGAGACGGAAGCAGAGTTGAAAGAAAAGGAGAGAGAGGTCAGTCAACATCCATTTATCAATATTGAAACTTTAGACAGAGTCAGTCCCCAAACTTTGTATACATCTTCACAATAACAGCCTGATGTCTTTTTGATTACAACAAACAGGCTTTTGTTGTCAGGCGCATGCAGTTATGAGTGTAATCCCATAACACAGATTAGCCAAAAATGTAGCTGGTAAAGTAAAAGTGTTTTTGTTTTATAATGTGTCAGGGGATTGTAATTAAACCTGTAAAATGACTCCTTGCATGGTGATTCTGTTCCCCCTAGCAGCATTCAGCGTTACTTCGATGTAATGGACTTTGAGACTGATTCGCGGTTAAACAGTTACAGCTATGTGTGCACCTGAGTGCCCGCCTCTCTTCAGCTCTGCTAAAGCGCCAACGGAGTGCAACGCTAGCTAATGTAGACAGTCAACCTGCACCCACCACACAGGGTCCAACATAAAGCACGAAAAGTTCTCTCAAAAGGTTCGATCTCAGGAAGCATACATCTGCCTTTTGTTTGGCTTGATAGCTAACCTTAGCTTTGTCACAGAACAGATTGAACTGTTAGCCAGATAATTCAGCAAAATACTGTCTTAAGTGAATGACACACATTGTATCAACTGCTTATGATGTCAAGATACAAGTCAAAGGTGTATATCTTCTGTGATGATGTCTGTTATGACACCACACTTGTTATAGATAACATTTGAAATTTCACCAAGTACCTTGGTTTTTATTTGTGTTCCTGTTCTTACATCTCACTCTCTCGTCTCTCCTCTCCTGTCCTTTTGTCCTCCCCCATCTGTTCACCGCCACCACTTGTCCTCTCCTCCCCTGTCAGCTGCACGACAAGTTCGAGCAGCTGAAGCGGATGCACCAGGAGGAGAAGAGGAAGGTGGAGGAAAAGCGGAGAGACCTGGAGGAGGAGCTGAACGCGTTCAACAGGAAGAAAGTGGCAGCGGAGACCCTCTCCCTATCTCAGCCCCTCAAGAAAGACAAGGATAAGAAAAAGTAAGCAAGCCATCTTTTCTGAAACCCACTCTACTCATTCTTCTTTCTATTGCACAAATTATATTTTCTTTCTATTGATTCTGTTGTCGTTTCATTGGGTGCCTTAAATCCTGAGATGATCTCCTCTTGAATACTAGTTTCCTCTGCCTCTTTCATCCCTTCTCTTTTTTACCTTAACCGCCGTTGCACATGTTAAAGCAGAAGGGTTCTGTTAAGTCCTGAAGCAAGGTGTCACATCAGTGAGCCTTGTGCTTGTCCACCTTTCTTAAGCAAACAAACATTTCAGCTATTGTCCCTGCCTGGCATCATCAACTAGCATCCCTTTTGTCCTGCCCAGCATGAACATTTCCTTTCACTCTTTTCTTTTGCGACGCTCTAATTACTCAGGAGATTCACAGGGAAGTCGGTGCACCCACCAGGACAATAGGAAGTTCAGTTCATCAATAAGTGATACAGAATAACACTCATTCAAAGTGAACCTGATGTCTTATAAGGCTTTAATGATGCTGCTTAGGGACACACAGGTGTGACTACAATGTAGCTTCTCATGTTTAAACATATTGGCCATTCATCGTTATATTTTTCTTAGCACTGCTTATAATTTTCCAAGTTTTTATACTTAATTCACTCACAGTCCGCTTTTGGTGTCTCTTCAACACTGGCACTGTCTTTATTTATATAGCACTACATTTATAACATGTAGCGCTGCATGAAGGAGAGTTTTGAAAATACAAAATCCTAGTGCAGTTTTTTGATTCAGGATAGACCCCTTTGTTCCAACTAAGAAACATCTAATCTCATACTACAGAATATGTTAACAATGATTTACATCCAAATAGTGTTTGGCATGCATCTGTTTCCACTTTAAAATACCAGTTTACTTTTAATGGAGCTCTCTTTTTTTGCGTGGAGCTCTCTTGCATTGAGTGGTTGTAAATTCCTGCCCCTCTTCCAGCATATTTATTTTTCTCAGTATTTATCTGATAAAATAGGTGAATCGATAAGGTAGTTAGAAATATTTGTTCTGAATTCAAAGTATTTAGAAAAGACAAGCATACCACTGTAAATGTATGACTTTAATCTACTGTTACACTTCAGACCTCTGAAATCATTTTAAAACAGAACTAAATATGTGAAGCTCATAAGTCTGGGAGATTTGAAATCTTAAAAAGTATTCCACACAATTGACAATGCTATACAATGACATGAACTGAACAGAAGTACAAGCTGTGGTCCTCAAGTGTGAGGCTTGGAATGCATGGAAAGACATGTGGCTCCCCCTTGTGGCTGCTATCAGACTTTGCTCTCAGTGCTGCCTAAGGAGACTGGACTTCCATTTTGTGGCTCTGTGAAGACATTTCCCCATTTTCTTTGTTTACTTCTCATTCCATACATCTGCCAAACTAACTCATTGTTTAACTATCTCCAGCTTCCCTCAGCTGACAAATGAACTACATTGTGTTTAATGTAGTTGTGATGCTGCTTTCTACTCACTAACACAAGCACTGCTGATTCTTTTGACTGTAGCACAGCTTTAACACTACTTTACAGGTCACCTTCAGAGTTTTCGTTTTGTTTGAATCTACCATTCATTATTCATTGAATTTATTTTATTTGTTTTTCATTTTCAGTTAATTTATGGGCGCTGTAGACCCTCCCACACACAACCATGGACATGTCCTCCATCATCATACCGACGAAAACATCAGTTTATGTTTGTTTATTTGTCTACTTTTGTTTGTTTGTTTTTGACATTCCATCTTGACATTGTGCACATGGACCAAAGACAATGAGGAGGAGGATGACGTCACAGGGGGAGAAAAGAGGGAAAAGATGGTGAGAGATTTTGAGGAAACAATAAATTCTAAGAGTGGCCATCTCATTTATTCAGGATCTTTCATTCCATGTATGACTTTTGGACACTTTTTTTATATATATATATATGCAATTAACTATGTTGTGCTTTATAGATGTTTTTCCATCAATTACTCACACAGAAACAAGATAATACATTTTCTGGGTACTACAGTTTAAGTGTTGGGGTGTTGGGTATTTGAACTTGTATTTACAAATCATTAAGGGTTCAAGGACTGACATTCGAATGACTCATTAGAGAGACTGTTAAATCCAGCCTTTCCTGATTTAAGGAACCTGAACAGTTTGATCTGTTGTGTGACTGTTAACCTTCTTGTAGTTAGATTGAGAACATTTGACAGTAGAGAGATTCCTTATCACTTGAGCCAAATAAAACATTTAAATAGCGTAGTGTCAAGTAATAAAACCGAGTACCTGTATAGCGTATATATGACTGCCTATACTTTAGGTACTGACATCCTAAATCGTATTCTAAAGTCTTAATAAAAACGTATGCAATATTTCGGTGCTGTTTCATATTAACTCAATAAATGTATGTGAATATTTTCAGGAGCTTACCCAGCTTTTTATGCAATTTGTACTAGTTTTTGAATAAAATATTATTGTAAGAAGCACATAATATGACGGTGTACAGTGATGTTACTATATTGTGGACAAGTTATTATGTTGTGAAAGTGGACACGCACAGAAACATGAAGCCATCGTACAAACATGCAGAGAATTCAGGAGATCATACAAGCCTCAGCTCGCTGTTGGAGAGTTTACACTCAAAGACGGAGAAGAGAGAGCAGCTGTGTTTACGGTCTGTCATTGGAAATAAATGCAAGAAGCCCCATCCCGACTTTGATGTGTCTCTCTCTCTGCCATGATATGTTTGACATTATTCATCAGGGAAGGAGATAAAAGTGAAACACAGGCAGGTGAAGACACTTACTTTGTCACACACACACACACACACACACACACAGAGGCTGTTGGGCTGTAAGCCAAACAGCTGTCAGCTTCAGATGCAGTGTTTCCTGTTTGGTGCAGAAAAGCTGAAAGACATTTGCTCAGTCTTTGTCCTGCTTTCACCATCGTGCTGCTGACCTCAGCGTGCGTGCGTGCGTGCGTGCGTGCGTGCGTGCGTGCGTGCGTGCGTGCGTGCGTACAATGTGTTTGCCAGAGATAGAGAGGAGAAAGTGTGCTTGTGAGAAGGACAAATATGTCACATTTATTGACCTAGTTTGTCTTTGCAGGATGTGTGAGAGTGTGTGTTTGAAAAGTGACATTTGACCGGTTGCTTTTTAGTAGTGAACACAAAGTGTGCGCGTTAACACCGACTGCAGCTGTTCCTCATTTCACCAACAACAACCGCTTTCTCACTTCATCTCCATTTCCGTTTTTTTCATTCTTCCTTGAAAACAAAGAAGTTATATAAATATTAGTATTTAAGAAAATAAATGCATGTGTGTGACATTTGAGTTACTAAACTTATTTTCTCTAACAAGTCGAAACTTTTTGTGGGTCAAACAACCACTACAAGTTTATTTATTGATTTGTATTTTCTGTTATAGTAACGTCCCTCTGATTTTTGATTTATTAAACACAGACAGAGGAAGTCATGGTACAGTATTTAGATCTGCCCATTGTAATGGTTTTCTGTTTACTCTGCCAGCACTATTATTATTCTGCCCACCACCTGCAGAGCCCACTGGATCTCATCCAGCAGTACAATCTGTTCAAAGCTCTCTGTTCCCTGTCCTCTAGTGCACCACCAAAACACTCTGCTTCCACAGCTCAGTGATAATGACTGTCTGACTGTCTGTTCTACAGACTTTACATACAGGACAGCATGAGACGCACAGGCAGGAATGATGAAGACGAGGAAAGTGTTTCAGTGCTATAGTTGACAAACTAACACTGAAAGGATGAAGTGTCTATATTTTGTTAAGGCAACTTAACTTAACCAGATAACACTGACTCCCATATCAAGTTCACAGCTAGGCCGAACAGAACAATCCTTTTATGTTTAGTATAAAGTATTGTTCTGTAAGATATTGCGTCCGGCTTGTTAATCATATTGGAAAAAAAATGGAATAATGTAGGTATCTGTTAATGAAGTTACAATTTTGCAATTTAAGAAAAGAACAAGGATAAACTACAGGTTATGTCCCCAGATAGAGAGCTTTTAATGTATGTTTTTATCCAGTTGACATTCTTCCTTTAGCAGACCTGTGTAAGTGTGTTCATACACATCGCTTTTTGATTTTCACTGAAATGACTCGTGAGAATAATTCATGAGGTAAAACAGATTCCACCAGATCAGGTTCTGATCATAGCATTTTGGCTTTTGTGGATGAATATTCCAAATTAATTATATTCATCAACTTTAGGTCACACAGTAAAATATGTTGATCTACTATAATTTGAGCGAATTCTAAAACGTTATGTCGTTATGCCTGCTCTCTTAAATGTTGCGTAATGTCATCAAAATAATACACATAATCTGGATGCTTTGAGCAGTGTTTAGTTTCATGTTTGATTGCCAAATATTTGATGCAGGAAAAAAAAAAAAGATAATTTAGGTGATCATCATAGACACCTTACACAGTAAGTCTTAACTTACTTTAACATCGTCAGACTCCAATACACTTTTCAAAAGGATCATGATTGGGGCGCAGGTGGTTGAGTGGTTAGTTTGTTCTAACCCATGTACAGAGGCTATAGTCCCTGAAGCGGGCAATTTGAATTCAACCTTTGTCATTCCACGATCTCATCCAACCTTTCCCACCCTATCCACTGTCCTGTCTCTACCGGCACAAAAAGAAATGCAATTTGTCCTAAGGAGTTTAGTCTAGGATCTTTGTTTTTCTCTCATGCTTTTTCAAGTGGTAAAGGGCTCGCAGTTAAACCATAAATGCACTATGTATAGATTTATTTTTTTAAATAAACCAAGTTTAAAAGACCCCAGTAGTGTCTGAAATCACTGTAAAAAAAATATCCAATATTGGCCAGACAGAAGGTACTGGGTTAACTTAAACCAATGACAGTTTTGTGTTCATGTTTCCCAGTAACACCTCTGTTGTTTTGGTTATAAAATGAACACAAAGACAGTGTTGATCTGATCTATATATTAGGTGTCATATTCCTGAGAAGGCAGTTTTTTTTTCCTTTTGTTGCTTCATAACTAAAGATCCATTGACTTGCAAAACCACAGCAGTGCTCATTTCTAGCCCAGTTCAGAAATGTACTAAACTATGCAATTAAACAAGAAGGTCACCGAATCTGAAGCCTGTCAGAGAGGCTGCAAAATTAACATGAGTATAACTGATATTTTAATTCACTGCCTACTGTTGAAGTGCCATTTATACAAAAAAAAAAAGGTATAAATTGTGTTTACAAGGGAACGCCTTTTGTCACAGCCCCTGAGCAGTGTGGAGCAATGCCAGAGTTCAGTGAGGACCAGGCTCCGTTTACTCCTTCAGTTGTTATTGAGAAGATAGGACACAACGAAATAATAGTGAGGGGGCATTAGAGTCAAGTATCCTGCTTACATTCTTCCTGAATCATACCGGTATGTGTCGAGTAAAGAGCGTGCTCTGTAGAAAATCTATAAATGCTGAACTGACTTCAGACCATTAACATTACATGACACATTTAAGGACAAAATAAGGACTGTATAATCTTATTATAAAAAAAATAAATAAATCATTAATGTATTGATTCTGTAGATTGCTCAAGGACAGTACGTCTCCAGACATTAAGAAACTGGAATTACATTTTTCAGCACTTTGTAAACATTTGTTTTTAAAGGTGCTATATAAATAATTAAAAATCAAAGTTATTATTATTTGATGCAGAACTAAAATGTCCCCCAACTTTTTAGAACACTTTTATTTTTTTTATTTATTTATTTTTAAAAAGAGAAAAAAAATACAGAAATACTGTTTGAGACTTTTTAAGTCGTAGCTTTATTTCTGTGGGTGACCAAACAATAACATATAGCTGCCTCAGTATATGAAGGAAATACAAAGTAAAATGCTTCATATTGGTCGTTGGTGAAATGACACATCCAAAAAAACTGGATGAATTGAAACTGACAGTTTAAAAAAAAAAAAAAAAAAAAAAAAGAGACAGTAACCAGTTCAGATTGTAGATCAAATTGCTAGTTTCCATCACAGTTATTGTGCCTACAGTCACAGACTGAAATTACAGATGTGTTTGCTGCCTGTCGGCTTCGACTGTTTGGACAAACTGTTCATTTATCAGTGAACATTAAATAAAAAGTTATTTTTTGATACATGATATTTTGCCAGTTCACATCAGTCTGCTCATGAAACTGACAGCAGCTCTGTCAGCGGCTGATAACAGAAATAAAAACAGGGTAAATGTTTCCTAATACTTCATGTTGTAATCATGCTGCAATATATTTTAAATAAAAACACAAGTAACCCTCAGATAATTTGTTATCAAAACAACCTTTTTTTTTGTCATTCTACTCTAGTGTTGAACTAACCTCCTGCAGATGCTCTCGTTTGATATGAAAACATCAGCTGCATAAAGCATAACCAACAAAGGCTGAAATAAAACATATTTGCAGCATTAAGTTATGAAATTAAAGCCGTTTATGAAAAGTTAGCTTTTAAAAAATAACATTGAAATAGCACAAAAAGGGTTTGTACAAGTGAGTTAGAGATTCAAATAATAAAAAAAACTTGTAAAAAAAATAGTTATTTGCATTAAAAAGCATGCCATAATCTCAAAGTGCTATGTGGAGGAACTTGTGCACCAAGACACTCCCAAACAAACAAAATCCAGATTAACTCTCAAACATAAGGAAAAAGCTTCCAACACATTAAAAAAATATACATTACAAACTGCTTAATCCTTATCATTTACCTGCAACATGTTAAACAAAAGATGATAAATGGAGGTTTTTAAAAGGACAGGTTGGTAAAAAAAGAAAAAGTAGAAACAAATATTGTATTTACAAAAGAAAGGAAATGTAAAGGGACCAATAAGGTCGCCTCAAGGAGACACATTAGTGTCTGTTCAGTTAGGCTCAAAGACTCCCAATCATTTCTTCTCAACTGCACAGCTCTCACAAAGAAGAGGATATGGTCCAGAGGTTTCACTTAAGCACTGATCCATACACAACTCGAGTCATTTCCCACCTTGAGTCATTTCGAATATAGACAAGTAACAGAAAAGACTGAAATAAAATCAAAATCAGCACTCGACCTGCTGCCGTCAATGTGTCAAAGGTGTTCCTTTGGAACGCATGATTGAGACCCCAAGTGCGATTTGAAGTTTGTAACATTGTCACTGTGAAATGGAAGCACCGTGCACTTGTAAAAGGTGGTCTGTGTTGATTCGTGTTAGACTAGTTGACAACAGGATGCAGTGGTGGGCACGGCGAGATGTTTTTCTGCTGGGAATTGAACAAAACCATAACATCGTCACCCTCTGTCCCTGGAGTCGTCTCCTCGTTATACAAACAGCCAAAACCGTCGTAATACTCATCCGACTCCCCCTGCACATAGCAACCCTTCTGTGCATGCCTGGCGCGCTGTGTGGGGCTCCAAGCTCGCTCCTTGTCCTGGATCAGGGCGCTGTCGAAGATGTACACGGCATTGGTTGGCAGGGAGAACTCAACGCTGTGTAGGTACTCGTCCACCATCTCTTTGCAGTGGATGAACTCGCCACTATCAACCTGGAAGAGCCAAAAGATAAAAAAAATTAATGAAAAGCTGTGAACATCAAATTTGACAAGCTTAAACCAAGTTTTTTTTTTTTTTTTTTTTTTAAAAGGAACGATTAAAGAAAGATTTCTTGGGATGAACTCTGAAGGCGATGGTGTGGATTTGCATGTTAAGCAACAAAGTATGAAGTTTTCATCTTTCTATATCTGATGACTCAGGACAACATGTTGACAACATTTTAAACTGAGTCAGCATTTTCAAAGCTTTCTGTGTGCTTCGGTTGGAGTAGATTAACTTTCCTGACAACGTGTTAATGTACAAACCTGCACTCAGATGGTAACTCTTGGCCTCTAACTCCTCCTCTTGAGGGCAACTGAGTGTGAACCTAATCTATGATACCATACCTTACCAACTCCATACTACTAGTCTTGATGCAATTATTAACATGTAACATGAGATTTCAAAGTGTGGCTTTGGACATCATTTTCTGGTTATATAACAGACTCTCTACAGAGAGACATTTTTATCCATGTGTTCAGAAACCCTTCACAATGGGAAACAGAATAATTATTTGTAGACATGCTCTGATTTGGTGCAGTGTCCTTTGAGGATAACGTTGCAGTCATGTCAGACAATTTCAAAGATGCCAGCTGAGTGTATCTACTGAAGCAATTCCAGAAAATACTTCCAACTACGAGTCATTTAGCCACTCAAACTTGTAAGAATGGGCCCAGATTTAATATGCCACATTTGCAGGGCTATGTTTAAATATTTGGCAGTTAGCAGTATAATTTGCAAACTACCACAATGTGTCTTTTTTAATGTGGTTTATTTATCCAAAGTGACCTCCAGTATTGGCAACAAAAAAAAAAGACGCCAAATCTGCAATGCAGTAGGTGCAAAAGTTTGGAAGTTGAAACGGAACAACAGGCTGTTGACAAATAAAACGAGGCCTGCTAACTTAAACCATCGTAACATATCCATGAAGGGTTGACAGTTAAGACTCCCTCTGGTTTTATTATTCTCATCTCTGTGTCCACACTGATGGGTCAGCGCTTCCTTCACCATTTGTGTGAAGCAGAGGCTCAAACATGTTTCATACTTTTTTTTTTTCCCCTCTCACTTGAAACCTTCCCTATCCAACAGTTAGCCGTGTTAGGGGAGGAGAGATGGCCCTGCCCACTCAGGGATGCTGTTTGTAGAGGTATTATGGTGGAGTGTTATCACATCAACATATAGCAACAACATCAACTGGATTGGAAATTTACTTTAAGCCCAAGATTGATAAAAATCTGATAGAAATTCACAGATAATTAAATCGAAACACAATCATTGAGAAGAAGCCCTTACTAGAGGGCCTGTGCGTTTCTCTTACCTGTGATTTCTTCAACAGATCAGTGAAGACAGAGAACCAGTCGGGTGTGAGCACCTCCAGCTCCAAAGTGATGATGGCCAAGGCCAACGTAGAGCCTTTGAACTGCCAAAGCTGGTGGCAAGCCATACAGTGCTGCACCTGTCTGGTCCACAACGCTGCTTGGAAGCCAGGGGGCGTCTTCTGATGCTCCGACCTAGCGGGACCGGTGTCTGTTGCCAAGTCCCAGCTGACGCCGGAGCCGAGCCCGATGGACGGAACAAGGTGAGGGTGGCCCGAGACGATTAAGGCGTGGAACTACACCGACGAGGAGAAGAGAAGGAAGAGGAGCGAGACCAAAACATTAGCATAATGATGTCATGTTTCCTCATAGTCCACCACTCCATCAATTCCTGAACCCTTACCTCTACTACCTTATTTCAACATCACATGTACCAGTGCCATCTAACCATGTATATCTGACTCATCATTTATCCCGTTGACCAAACCTCAATTTGTATCCACGCAGGACACTGTCACAGATTCTCTACTCTGCTTTAGTTGTCATTTCCGCATTAAAAGCATCCGTGAACATCCAAACATAAAGCTCTGTGCAGGAAGACACTACGAGCGACGAGTAGAGAATCTCACCATCAGGTTTTATTAATGGAGGGTCCAATGTTTTGCCTGAGTAATTAATAACCTGGTTAATGTTGTATGGCATGTGCAGTGCTTTTCTGTGTTCTCTTAAACCTTAAATCACAACCTGAACAGGGCCTAATGTTTAAAAGGACACCGTTTAAATTTCATTAAAGAGGTTATTTCTTCGTCACATAATGATTGGAAACCATCTGATGATATCAAGACACGCAGGCTAGCTAGCTATAATGATTGTTGGCTGGTGAAAACCACTGACTAGAATTCACAACACTCTTGTAATTTTTGTTATGTCTTGTTTTCATTCATGTTTTTTGACGGCTAAACTGCTTTACTTTGTCACTGTAGCAAAAGAAAGCCATGGGGATAAAACAAACAAAAAAAAAAAAAGGTAGATTCAGCAATATGGTGAGGAACAGTTCAGCCCAGGCCCCTTCTTCCTTCTGTATTTTCATTATTTAATTAAAATCGGGGTAATGTAGCAAAGAAAGGATAACGTGTATCATGATTCAACCGTCCTGATACTGTCACAGATTGTGAAGATATCAGCATCATGTGGCTGGTTTTACGTCAGGTTTAAAACATATGGAAAGGCAATGACAAGGCATCTCTGTATATCCTTGTATTTATTGATATAAAAGTACCATAGTGGCTAGTCTGTGACAACCTATTGATAGATTTTATTGATTGCCGTTTTATAGACATGTCGAATAATTTAGAAATGGGAAGGCAGTGGATTTCCTTCAGGGCAGGGGGAATGTATTGTGAGATACTGAAAGTATTTATTTGAATAGTATGAAAAGAGAAAGAGTCTTTATTTTATTATAGTTTTTATTAATACATTATGTCTCTTTATTTTCAAAGTCTTCGATTTTTGTAATGTTAGGACGATAATAGATTTACAACACTTACTTCGCACACATAAACCTAATACACTATCACCGGTCAGATCCATGAACCAAACAACAGTTGAGGTACTGCCATTTTTTTTTTTACTTTGCAGAAGACACTTAATCAGTCCAAATGTGCCAAGACAATTTCTATGACAGTTTTATGGTTTGTGGCTTCAGTGAAAAGGTAACAATCCACCAACTTTAACATCACAAACAAAGCGCTGATATTGATTTGTTGAGGTTGTCTTTTAGCCTGGGATGAGATTCTAGACTCACAGAACGCATGACAAGACTTCACTGTTAAATATATATCACTGTTCAATTTATGTTCGAGGAGATGTGCATCAGGAATTTGGTATTCCCTAAAAAAAGGAACAATTGGTGTCAATGGAAGTCCTTGTGCGGATCAGTACAATGTGCTAACTGTTTGTCGAGAAAATTATGGGCTGTATTCATAAAGCCTCCCACGGCTCGTCTGTGACCTGTTTCGCCTCTTATCTCACAGATGTTGTTTTTTTTTGTTTTCTTCTAAAAGCACTTTCTATGGCCTAACAGGAATCACAGGTTAGAACAACTACCATTCAAACTTCCAAAACACTACTTAACTAATCACAGGATTGGGCTCGACAACATCACTGACTTTCAGTGGATTGCTGTCATGACACGATAGTCGTAGTGTGCTGTTGTATGGATATACATTTCAGGCAAACTTGAGTTAAACGTTTAATTATCTCAATAGTCGACAGTTCTGGAATCTATCAGAATGTTGATTAGATATTAAAGTGGGACCCAAGTGGTGGACTGAGATTTTTAATCAATAGAAATTAACAAAATGTGTCACTGAAGTTAGTTTTACATGTGTAGAGTTCACCATCTAAGCAATAAATATATTTTGTGTAAATTTGCTGCACAATGATTTTGATAGAAAATGTAATTTAACTGAGGTTCTTTGTAAATCCCACTCATATCTGCTGAAACTGGCCTGTGGCAGTATACTTGTAGTTACTGAATTTTGTTCTTCACACCCTAGATGACTTGTTGTTCAAGGCTTTATGAATACAGCCCTGGGCCCCAACAGCATGAGGGACCAAAATGATGTTGTGTGTAAATGTGTTTGTTGACAGTTCACTCAGTGCGTCAGGCTTTCGGCAATGATTTATGAGGGTTTAACAATTAACCGTTGTGAATGGGTCCAAGCTATGAAACTATGATGTGCCATAAACCGAATAACACGACAAACAACAAACTTGGCTTTGACAATTAAAAAAAAAAACTGTCTCAACGATTCACAACATGGTATAGATATGCCGATGACGTTCACATCTCTGGAGAGTTTGAGGTTTAACTGTAGGGCTGCAGGTTAGAGTTAGTCAGAAGTGCCTTGGCCTGATATGCAACACGCCCGTTATTTTCGCTGGCAGCTTGCAAATGCAGTCTCACATGGTTTGAGAGATTGCTATGCTCAATTCAGATTTCATGCTGAAATATGTTTTTTTTTTTTGCTTTTAGTCCAAATATGCACAATTCTGGTAATAGGCCTAAAATGTGGTTTACATGCCAGTTTTGTCACTTTTGCCCCTGAGGCTGTAGATAGCTGACAATAAGAACCTTCAGAGAGGAGATAGACCTTTATTTATCATTTAAACAATCATGTGGTTTTCTGGCAGTTTTTGTGGTAAATTAAAAGCAGGGGTTTTTTTTTTTTTTTTTAAATCTGTTCCATGAAATTTGTAAGCCACATCGATTGAATTGTCTTTAAATGCTAAGCAGGATGTTTAAGGCATTTATTCAGAGCTGAGATCAGGCAGCATTATAGTTTTTTTTAATTTTTATATGTTAACTTGGTTATGATTCATTGGAAAACCAAATGTACCCAACATAGCTCGCAGAGTCGTTAATTGTATTATTTGTTTTAGAGAGAGTCACATATTTTATTTCCCTGCTTTGCTACAGGGATTGTTTAAAAACAAATTGAAGGTCACACTCTGACCAAGACTGAATGGAGCGAATTAATAAAATGGGCACAATGAGTCAAATTTAATAAATGCACAATCTCTATCAGGACCAAGTCTTTCCTTTGGGTGCAAGTGTTTGAGATGGTTTGTGAACACTAACTTAAGGCAAATTTGATGCAAAAGCATGATGGTTTTTATGTGTGCTTTTGTACTGATGTGTCTTTAGGCAAGACCCGGACCTGAATTCACAAAGCATTTCAAAGCCCAGCCGGCTTTCTTTGAGACGCTCTGCTGACCAGTTCAGGTCCAGTTAAGAAAAATAAAATTAAAAAAAATGTCATGTTTGCTCTGTGCTAAATTCTGACTTACTATGTGAATGAAGTCGACTGGTGTTGCTGTGTACAAGTCCCAGTGCAGCTTGTCTAGAATGATCCTCTCCATGCGAAGAATCTCCGCTGTTGAAAAGTTGCATCCGCTCTGCACAACCAGGTCTGTAACAGAGCCTATTACCTGTTAAACAGAAACGAACAAAGAGAAGCAAAATAAACGTATTGTTTTCAAATAACAGTCATGTCTGTGTAGTTTTTTTCCACCACAGCTTTTATTTTGACAATGTTGTTTGTAACATTGTTTCATCAGGAAAATTCTACCTCATCTTCCTCATTGATTTTTGCAGCCAGGACCAAGGAGGTAAAGGAAATGCATTTCAGGTATTTTGTTTGGGCCTAAAAAAGAAATGGAGAGAAAGGATGACTTTCACTGCTTTAATAGATTCTTACATTTACTCATTTAATTCAGGAAACATGCACACAAGTGATTAAAGTATATCAATATGGTTTAAATGTAGTAGATGGAGTCAGGGAGGACATAATTATTTATGCTTCCTTGCACACTAGTAATAAAAAGCTAAATGTGAAGTACAATGTAGTAAAGATATTGTCTAAAGCTTGACTATGCATCCATTTGTGCAGGTGTCTACTGTACATACTGAAGCAAATGGGTGTCTAGATAAGAGACTGTGAACCTCTATATGCTGCAGCTTTGTACCTTGACAGTGGACAGCAGTCGGTTGAGGACACAAACTCCCAGTGCAAAGGTCTCTGGACAGAACTTGAACAGCCTGCTCATCTCACCGAGCCAGACGATCATTTCTTGGTGTTGGGATGAAGAGATGTCAGCGCCCTGAGCGGCCAAAGGACGCATTCATTGGTTAAACAATTGAGGACGAAGCGTGAAGACATTTTTGAAAAGCAGCTACTCAACAGCTTTTGACTACGTCTGGGTTTTGACTCTATGGTATATTAAAACATGCTGACAGAGAGCTTTTCAGAGCCTGGAAAGTGTGGGTTTAAATTGTATATTCAAAACTACAAAGTTAAAGATAAACAACAAATATTAATCACTTTCATATTTTCATGTAATTACTTTCAGAAAAGCTTCATTAGGCAAAGCAAAATTTATTTATATAGTGACAAAGGGATAAGAAACATGAAGAGTGCATATAGAAATAATTAAAACAAACAATTATAAATCAAAAGGAAGATCAAATAAAAACAGAATAGTAAAGTATTAAAATACAAGTATAAAAGATAAAGTGCAGCATAATAGATGAAAATTATTCAATAAATGGCACCTGGGAAAATACTTTTTTTTTTTAACATAAATCTTGTTATGGAGAAGTGCAGAGTACCCCTTGTCTCACCTGAATGCGTCCATTCTTGAAGACAGGTACCTTCCAGAGGCGAGCCTCTCTCACCAGCGCCGCCTCCAGTAGGGTGACTAGCCGGCAGCTCTCCACACCTCCTGGGTTCTTCATCTCCTCCACAGCACAGGCTAGGCTGCACCGAGGTCACACACACCTGATAACAGAGAGGAAGGAGGAAGAGAAAGATAAGAGACTACAACAGCAAAACCAAATATGCACCTCTGTCTCATGAAGACTGTTCCTGAATGTTGAACTTCAACATCAATTCTTTCAGCTGTTTTATCCTGAGAATGTATATCTATTTGATTGATTTGAATTTTTTTCCCCCCACACTTTCATATAAAAGGAAAAATGTAATGAATATAGGAAGTTTAACATTGTGGATGGTGCACCCTCTGTGATGTAACAAAACGGGTAAGACAACAACAAAGATTTTATATGAAAGACAGTTTGATGAGGACCCAACATTGATGAGGTCTAGTCCACTTTTTGGTGGATACACAAAGACAACAGTTAAACATTTTCACGAATCTAGAAGTACAAAAATCCTAACAGATTAACCCAAAACAGCTGCTTGGGCAATTTATTTCACTTTGCAGACGAGTTTAGGCTTGACTTAACTCATTTGTGTCGGGTTTGGGCGCCAGTCAGTGACACGGTTCTGCTGAAAGAACAAAGTACGCACCAGGAAATACGTTTCCCAGCTAAACAACGCAATTTCAAGACGTTTCGAGCAGGCAGCGCAGGTTTGGGAGAATCATAATTTATGCAAAAGCTTTAAATGGTTTGTAGGACTTTGCATAAATCTGCTGTGGGTGAAGTACTCCACACAGGATCCAGGCGGGATAATGGGCTGCAGCTGCTGCAGCCTCTTGCACAGTTACAGCTGCTGCACATTTGTTTTTGTCTTCCTCTTTCTGTTTTTTTTTCCCTTTGCTAAACAAGACTTACCTCTTCGATTTTAAAAGCAGGGAATCCTTTCGACGGCAGGTGCATTTGCACGGGTTTTAAATCAGACCATGTTTACGTAGAGCAACAGTCAACAAAACACAGTCGGGTGCTGTTAGAGAAAACAATCTCGTAACGAAGCGTTTTCAGGCGTAAAAATGGGGAAAGCAGCCGCATTATATAAAAAAGAGCGAACAAAACAAGGAAAGAATCAGCAAAATATCCAAAATAACTCTTTTTCAGTTGCGAAATACGCGCAAAAACAAGAGGCAGGAAGCAAAAAATCAGGCAGGATTGAGGGCAAGCTGTGTTTTGAACGCTCTGGACTCCGCCCCCGTATGACGTCACTCCGTCTGTACAACAGAAATGTGTTAGTGGGTCAGTCATACGGGACCCATCACACAAAATGGTCGAGCTTTCACTGGAAATGGAAGATTTCGACTGTGGCTCTGAAGAAAAATGTTTGTTCAAACGATGAGTGAGAGCTATACACCAACGCTTCTCTATGATGTAACACTTTGTATGTGAAATAATGCTGCTGAGACACAGACGCCTCGTCCAGCAGCAGCACCTCCCCTCTCAGCTGGAAGTTGTTTACGTGCGTGTCTTGACTCTTGAAGGCTGTAGTTTATCATAAATTAACCATTGGTATCACAAAACCCACATTGACCCATCATTTTGAGAGTATCTGACTCTACAGACGTTTTCTTTGGTATTTTCCTTAATTGTCTCTCTTTTCATTTCAATAAAATTAAAGCAGCTTTAAAAGTCCCCTTTTCTGAAATAAGTCAATAAAACTCACAAATAGCAGTAATACAATCAAACTAGCACATTAAAAAGTACAAAAAACTTTAAATTATATTAGCCCCAGCAATTAGCTAGAAGTTTAAAGCATACCTCAACAAATGAAATGCCACCGTTGTCTCAAAGTTTCACAATCCTTAATATAACACTTTCGCTTTCACTTTATTTGTCCCTGAAGGGCGATTTGTTTTGCAGCAAGGCATTCAAAGGACAGAAAAAGACAGAAGACAAATACGTTTAAAAAGCAAATGAGGTCAATGTAAGAGGCACTGAATATAGTAACCTTGGAGAAACAACAGTGATCCTTGACTGATGCTCTTAGCAGCTTCCACTTCAGACAGAATAAAGTGCTGAGTCAACATGAAATGTTAACATGATATTCACCACTAGTACTACAATAACACATTTTAACACTATGAAATACATACCATACAACACCACAAATATATTAGCCTACATATACATAAGTGAGTATCTGCTGAGAATGTTTCCTACACAAATGGACGACAGTGACACAGCCAAGCTCACATACAAACTGAAACACAACAATAGCATCAGCCTGTAGCTACTGCTTTTTTACAAAGGGAAATCCACACACAAATGCCATGACTAAGATTACAACATTATTAATTTCTCTGTTTTTAGTTTTGCAGGTTTATAAGTTAACATAACAGGGTACGAAAAAGGGAATATATATTAAAGGGCCATTTAAATTAAGCGGAGGAAGTTCACTCAAACGTCAGCTTTGTGAGCTTCATCATTGTTATTGTTGATATATGACTGTATTAATAGCTGAATGTTTGGCAGCACTGTAAGTCCAAGACAATTTTCAAAGTCAAAATTCAAAATTCGTATTATTAAGGCTTTTAATCTGCCTGAAACCTGCCAGTGATACACTGAAGGAGTCCAGCAGTCAGTTATAGAGTATTTCATGCGGCTTAATGCTGAGTAACCTTTGGGGGTCGGACAGCTTGGTGCTCGGACTGCAAACTGTGCCGCAATGCACGCGTTATTTTTCACCGCTTACTGATGCTGATTATTACAGAAGGAGAAAACACACATTTTAACCTCACAGTGTCCTGTCTGCTCTCTGTGCTGTAAGGAAAGCTCAACGTTCTGCGGTGCGGAGCCACAGTCAACACACTTTATTTAACACTAACAGACATCAGCTGCTGGAGGAAAGAGTTTGCTTTCCATTCTCAGTTACCTCACACAGCTGAATGATAGAAAACAAAGTTGATCGGAGTGTTTGAGTTAGGTGAAAAGAGCAGAGGGAACATAGTGGCTGTGTACTGTATTATGCCAGGTTGTGTTTGACTTGCACATCATGTTTGTTCGGCGCACTTTAATGCTCCAGATGAGATTGATGAGTACCAGAAGGTCATTCTCACCTATTCTGGGTTTTGAATCTGCTCATGCATCTGTGCTACTCTTTATCTTCTTGTCTCACTGTGTTAGTGACTTTCTCTCCTCAGTGCTTCCCCAAAGCCTGAACTGTATCTGGCAGATTGTTATTCTCACTAGCCTTCTGTTGATTCAACATTTACCTTGTTTGCACAGTAGTGTGGATGTTTACATTCCACCACGCTCCAAACACTGGTTGGATATGACTGAGTTGTTTTTGGTGGGTTTCTTTTTTTTTTTCAGTGTTTAGCTCTTTCAAGTCAGTAAACAGCATAGCAACATAAGCATCTCTGTCTCACAGGTCAGGTTGTTTTTAAGGTGGTTTTGGGAAAGTCCAAGAGCATGGTACTAATGCAGGAGACAGGCCAAAAGTAAACATGCTTTTTTTGGGTGGGGAGGAAACTCTAACAAAAAGTGCATTAGTCCACCTCTCTTCCTTTACTGATTCTGCTCTTATTTCCATTTGAAATGTTGTTCAGAATTAGGATGTAAATCTGTTGAACAAGTTACAGTTTTTAAGATTTTAAACACATGTCTCTGTCACTGGTGTTTTTTCTTTTCTTTGGGACTATTTTCATCAAAGAAATGTGGAGCACGAGTGAGTAGAGTTCTCACCAGGTGAAAAGCTAACAAATCCTTAATTTTAGAATTCACAATGAACAAAACAACAATATAACTCAAGAAAATTAAAAAAAAAAAGGTTGTACTAAGCAGATGGCCTTAACTTGGTCAAAGTATACATTAAAGCTTGATGCTGTTGGAGACAGTTTAACATTGATTGCCTGCATTCCCTGCATGATTGTTAATGTTCTGTAGGCCGTCCTTGGCTTCTTATCAGACAAAGTTGGTCATCTTTTCAACATAGCTGTAACCAATGTAACATGAACGATTTGTTGTTTTTTCTTGACTTTTTTTTTTAATTTGAGGCATAAACATGCTAATTAATTGACTGACTAAAAAATGACTGTAAATGGAATAATTAAGAGAAATGGCCTCACATGACAAACAGCAATCACCAAAGGGATAACTCAGTGCATTCATATTTTCTTTTTGTATGAAACAGCAATCATTCGCCATAAAATCTGTAGACTACATGCAGAGTTTAGGAGATGAAAGATTGAACATGAACAATATAGAGCACCTTATCATGTATAGTGATATAGTATATTCACAAGGGAGCCAGGCAGGACTGCTTGTAGACGAGATTTAAAAAAACAACAACACTCACAGACCCTCCGGGGAATTCTTTCTTCAACTTCTTAAATCCTAAAACAGGAAAGGACACTCTACATGTTTGGCTTGATGTCTCACTGATGGTTCAGTCTGCTCTGATCTCTTTAACAAGAATTTACAATGTGTCTGCAGGCCCCCCAATGTCTCTTCTGAGCCCCCGTCACCAAAGAATGCTCAGCACTGCACTGTAAATCAATGTCAACCCTGAACCAACTTTGTCCTGTCAGGAAAGTTTGGTGCACTCGACTGAGCACATTATGTTCCTAGAGTCACATCTGATCTCTAAACTTTGATCACTGCATGTTTTCTTTTCCCTATATCCTTTGAGGCCCCTCTTTTGCGTTGTTGCCTCTGAATTGACTTATCTAAACTTATGTTCACAGAGGGATGTCCAGATTTTCAGGAATTCACTGCGTGAACATTATGTACTGACACAACTTTTCAAGTTGTAGATCCTTAAATGGAACTACACAAAAAAAGGAAACTTGCATCCATTCCTCCCTGAGCTCATCAAAAAAAAAAAAAGTTTTTATATTGTCACTGTTAATGGTCCTGTCAGTGAAAAGTGTAGGAAGAGCAACCTGAAAACTATGTGTAGCTGGCGCTGCTTGAGTTAAATAGGTTGCCATAGCAACACATGAAGTTAAAACGCTTGACTTTTATTTAATATGATTGCTTATTTGTTTTCCTTTACATGCAATCTTAAAAAGTAGGTTATACTGTTAATTCAGTAATTTATTAGTCAAGATGTTGTTATTTTGTTTGTTATGTTGTCCTGTCGATAAAGTTTCTTTGAATGTCACATGACGTTATTGACTGGGAAGCTAGAAATCACGGGTACTGCAGAGAACTTAATTATCCCGTCCTTCTTTATTCCTAACCTTTGATCAGCAGGCGAACACGGTAAATATTGTTTTACATTGTAACGTTTAATTTACTTTTGGAAAGAAATATGAGTCTTGAAATATGTTTGCTGACATATGAACATTAAATGATTTTAGCTGAAGACTAAAAAACTGTCTTATCTGTTCTAGTTTTTTACGGTGTCTCCATGATGTGTCTTCTGTGAAGATTAAAGCTTGTTGTGTACATCAGTATGAATCGTGGACTTTTTACTGACTGGCAGTTATACTATGCTTGTGATTCTGTGGATAGTTGGTCTGTTTTGACAATGTTTTTGTGCAACTTCCAAAAGCAAACCAGTGTGGTGGAGTGAACAGGTGCGAACAGGGCTCTTTGACCATCTAAGTGAATGTGATACAGATATACACAACAGGGGCGTGTCCAGGGGGGTTCAAAGACACAAGAACCAATGACTTATGCAGGGGTGGCCTGCAGTTTGTGTGCACACATTTGCAAATAAATAAAATGTATTTATTGTTTACATCTCAAATAAGCACATCTACTTTAAAGTAACACAAGAGAATGTCAATGTATTAATCTTCATAGCTTAATTCTTTGAGGACCTAAAAAAGAAGATGTAAGTTGGGGATGTCAATCAGATTTCAAGGGGGGCCCATGCCACCTCAGGCCACCCCTCTGGACCCCTGATACACTAGTACTGTAATTTTGTGAGGCATCTCGCTGTAATGACTCTGGTATGAGCAGCAGGGACAAGACTCTGGTTAAAAGGAAAAAAGACTTCGGGGAGGTGGAATCTGTATGTTCATAAACGATCCATTGTGCAGATCCAATCCCAATTTTACTTTGAACATCTACATTTTTGTATCAGTTAGGAACCCAAATTGTGTTAAAGCTTATGTGCATAATACAACACATAACTGTGGAAGGCCCAGGTGGAAGCTGCCTGCTCCAGAGTGCAGCAGAGGCACCTGAGAAGACTCTGGACCTTTGGTGTGTCCTAGGAAGTGCAGCTTCTCTTCTACC